AGGTGGAGAGCTTACTCCTGATGAAGGGCAGGGGCCACAGTTTCCACAGCCTGCAGGGAACACAAGAGACCAGGGCTTCTGCCTCTGTTCCTCCAGGTGCTCCTTCCTGCTAATGCCCCTCACCCTGCAGGAACAGAGCAAAAGCCAAGTCAGACTTAGTCTGAGAACCCAGTAGCCTCACTCCAGAACTCAGCAGGGCAAGGAGGTTGCAAAGACCCACGAGGCCTAGCAAGGAAGCACAAGTCGGGTAGGCAGAACTCCCAGAAGGTAGCCTTCCAATTCATAGAGCCTGCCTTCCTCACAAAGCTCTGTCCTGAAGCACATCTCCACCCATCAGCCTACTCCCAAGGTTAAGTCTCAAGATGGCCCCAAGATGGTATCAGGTGACCTTCTGGACACCGGGCCTTGCCCTGCCTGCCAGATGGCTCAGCAAAGTTGCTGGAGCTGACCGCTCCACAAGGAGCATGGCTTTCTCACAAGGCATACCCCACAGGCTTTCACATGCTAGAGATGTTTGAGGGCTAAGGTAGAAAAAATTGCCCAATGGCAACTTGGCTTTATACATAGAAGTCTGAGAACCAGAGACTCACGTCCAGGGGCACAGACACCATTACATCTGCCTCTCTGTAGGCAGGAAAAAACTAAAAGGCTCCTAGAAAGTGCAGAGCTACAACTAATGCATGCCTAAGACCCGGGAAGGAAGGGGAGGCCTGATCTTAGAAGGTTGAAAGGCCTCCTTCCTCTTCAAATGATTGGCTCTGAGTCACTTCCAAGAATGTGCCTCTTCATCCTAAGTGCCAACCAGGCAGAAGGTGACTTCTCACTGGCTGCATGGAGACCCCCACCTGTGCAGTGGTCCCTCCAAGGCTGCAGATGGGCTCTGCATGGCCTAGGTCCCTAAGGACACCCCTGAAGCAGCTAGGCAAGGCACAAAACCATGAGGGGGGAAGGGGGTTTTACTCCTGTAGTGACAGTCATGCTTTCAGTGCTGATAGCCACCAACCATATGTCTGACAGGAGAATCAATATCTAGTGCACACGAACAGCTCTTAACCTTCCTGGGTCCTCTGAGAACATGATAAAAGCTGAAGACCTTCTCTGACAGAACTGCACCTCCGTTCAACACATACCTCCACCTCACTCATCCCAAAGCTGTCATGAAACCCTCAAACTCACTCTTCACATCAAGATCCCCAGCAGCTCCCACAAGCCAAGTGTGTCCTCCTAGACTGCCAGGGGCTCTCTTCCCAGGCCAGTGCCCAAGCTTACTCAGAGCCCCTGAGTAGGCAGGGAAGGCAAATCCCCACACCTCAGGGAAGGAGACAAATGAGGACGTGTAGTTGCTTCCACAGGGAGATAGCACCAAAGAAACATCTCCTCAGGCTGAAAGGGGCTCCCAGCTCCTAGGCCCTCTGTTCACAACACCCCCTGGCACTCCTGGCACCCTTGCAGGTGCTTCTGGAGATCAGCCAGCACCCAGGGAGTCAGCCTGGGTGACTGAATGCCACCCCAATCCCTGGAGGGACTGCCTCTCCTGGAGGAAGCAATTGCAGCACCTGAAGCCCTGCTGGGTGGAGAAGTGGGGGCAGCAGGAAAGCACTGGGCCTGTGTGCCTCAAGAAGTCAGCACCTCAGGAAGGGCAGACCTCATCTGATTTCTCTTTCAGGGATCTGAGCTATCTGCCGCTCATACTCCCGTCTGGTGGGCCCCATGCAATAACCAAGGCTGCTGGAAGAACTGGCTCCACCCCAGGAGTAAGAAACATTAGGAACCACAGCCACCCCTGGGATGTCCCATGAGATGTGCAGGGGAGGGAAGGCAATTTGAAGTCCCAGGGTGAGCTATACACCTAAGGAAGGGCCCACATGAGCCTGGGCCCCTGCACACTTGAGGGGCAACTCTTAATGGCCTGCCCATTTTCCATACCCTCCAAATCCCAGAAGCACCTACCGGCAGCCACTGGCTGCTGAGATCAGTGACAGCAGACAGGCTAGCAGCAGGCAGACTGGCCCTGAGGCCCGCTTTGCCAGCTCCACAAGAACACTGGCCTCCACACCCTCTGACTGCCAGTGGCTCAGCCGCACAGGGCCTTCATCATACTGGTCACTGCAGAACAGCACCTCGCTGCGTGCCACCGTATCAAAGACCACAGCCAGGCCCCCAGTACTAGCCATAGCATCTCCATCCTGGTGATCAGATACGACTGTAGGTGGGTGCAGCTGGGATAGCAGCACCTTGCGCTGGTCATAGAAGATTAGCATGACCTGGTCTTCGTTGGGGACATCAGGGGCAGCAGACACTTGCCGGTGGATGGCCTTGCAGCTCCAGAACTTGCTGCCCCTCTCCCGGCACAGCTGTAGCCAAGGCTCATGGGAGAAGATGGTGCCCAGGCCCTCCAGGAAGTGGCCCAGGCTCTCCTCAGGTTCTTGCTGGCGGTGGCACCAGGTGCCCAGCACGGCCATGCCCACCTGACTGGCCTGCTGCACCTGGGCCAGGAGCTCCTTGACCTGGATGGGGATGAAGGGAAAGTGCACTACAGCCAGCACTATAGCACTGCTCTGCTCCGGGACCCACCGTCCCACCAGCAGGCCACTGTCTGCTGAGGCACAGCATGTTGGGAAGAAGGCCTTGAGCACCATGCCAGGGACCCTGCAAGAGAGGGGAGAGGGCTAACTCAGGGCATGCTACAGGACGTGGCAAACAGTCCTGGCAGACGCTGGGGCAACCCAGTTCTGGGTTTGGTGGAAGAGATTGGTAGGTCTTGGCCACCCATCTCACATGGGCTATGCTCCTGAGGCCAGCCTGAGTGTTGCCTCATGAAGCAGCAGCTGCATGTACAATAGCAAGTCAAGGTGATGTGCATGATAGATATCACCTGAAAGGGGTACCGGAGCTACAGGTAAAGGACTCTGATCATCTGTGTATTTTTTTCTTTTTTGGTGGTGCCTGGGATTGAACCCAGGACCTCACACATGCTAAGCAAGAGATCTACCACCAAGCTGCATCCCTAACTTTTCTTATTTATTTATTTTTAATTTTTTGGTACAGGGGTTGAACCTAGGGGCACTTAACCACGGATCCACATCCCCAGCCCTTTTTATTTAGGGGCAGGGTCTCACTGAGTTGCTTAGGTCCTCTCTAAGTTGCTGAGGCTGGCTTTGAACTTGTAATCCTCCTGCCTCAGCCTCCCACATAGCTGGGATTACAGATGTGTGCCATGGCACCAGGCTAGAGATTTTTTTGAGCAGCATATGGAAAAATGTACAGTCTCAACAAAGTAAAACAAATTACAGGGGCTGAGGTTGTGGCTCAGTGGTAGCGCACTTACCTGGCATGTGTGAGGCACTGGGTTCAATTCTCAGCACCGCGTATAAATAAATAAAAAATATTTTGGGGGCTCAGTGGCAGAGCACTTGCCTAGCATGTAAGGCAGTGGGTTCGATACAAATAAATTAAAAAAATAAAGGTCCATCAACAACTAAAAAAAAATACAAATACAATAAACAAAATATTTTTAAAAAATTACAACTTTAACAAACCAGGATTCATATATTAAGTTAACAAGAATAGGGGTTGGGGTTGTGGTACAGTGCTTGCCTAGCATGTGTGAGGCACTGGGTTCAATCCTCAGCACCACATAAATAAATAAACGTCCATCAACAACTAAAAAAAAAGTTAACAAGAATAAAGAGAGCTGGGGTTGTGGCTCAGTGGTAGAGCACTCACCTAGCACATGTGAGATCCTGGGTTTAATCCTCAGCACCACATATAAATAAATAAAATAAAGGTACTGTATCCATCTACAACCAAAAAATAAATTAAAAAAAAAAAGATAAAAATTTAAAACATTGTGCTTCTGGACTGAGGGAAACCAACCATACATACATAGTTAGGCACCCACGCAGTGGCCCAGGAGGTGCCAGAATCTGAAGGAGCCTCCCCTTCACAGCAGGGAGAGCATCCACCAGCCACCACATTCAGAAAAATAGACTCTGCTGTTCTCACAGGGTTTCTGAATCCACTCTGACTCTCCACCCTACCTGCAATGACCCTGAGCGGTACTCATCTTTCCCTGGGATTCCCAGCAGCTACCTCAGATCAGGGCTCCCAGCAGGGGAGTATTTTCCCAACTTTGGGATGTATTTCTTCAACCATATAGCCATCTAGACATGGGGTGGCAGTTCATGGGCCCTGGAGGTATGGAAGATTACCCTCATGTTCTCTCAGACTGAGAGGACACCAGCCTTCCTGGCCCCTCAATATCTCAATGTGGCCTTGGAGCATTAAGAAAAGCCCCAAGCAGCTGCAAATCCTGAACTCTGCAGGGCCCCAGGCCTTTCCTTCCCAGAGGTGAACTAGTGAGGCTGAAACCTTTTTGCCCTGCAAAGAAGGACAGCTTCCCATTCCTTCACCAGAGTCCTTTCCAACAGGCCTAATGGACAGGACCACCTTGCCCCATATGGTGGTAAGGGCCTGCTAGGCTAGCTGGCAGGATCTGGGTGCCCATGTTTGCCCATCTCGCCTACATAAATGACAGCAGACATCCTGAGCAAAGACCCCCAAGCTGGTGGCCACACTAAGGGAGGGAAACAGACCTTGGACTCAGCATGGGCCTCCAGGTTCAGCGCTCATGAAGCCCTTAGAGACAAGGGGACAGAGTAGGACACACATGTCTGTGAGGGCCTCACACAGACACAATCGGCCAGGGCTTAAGAGACCATGGTGTAATTGCTATCGGCCCTGCAGGTACACCAGACCAGTAGCTGGAGGGTACTTTGATAGCTATGGGTCCTGGTTGAAAAGGGTACCTACAGATCCAGCTGCAGAACTCCCAGATGCCCCTTCCCCACAATATTTAGAGAGGGCAGTCAATCAGCTGATACCACTGGGATAACCCTCATGACCAACAGGGGGCCCCATGGCTGGCATTAAGGGCCAATTTCTTTTCCGGTCCCTTCTGCAGGGCCTGACTCCAGGGAACCACTGACACAAGGCACCAGGGGCATTGTGAGAGGGACAGAGAGATTCTGGCTGTGAGGTGCCCAGCATTTGGCTGGTGACTGCCACAGTCGACAACTCAGAAAGGTATAAGTTTTTCCTGTCAGTCAACCCCTCAGGACACATCAGCTGTGAATCATCACGCCTGGTGGGGGACATCTTCCACAGGAACTGAGGGAAACGGTCCATGGCTATTGATGGAAGAGAAACACCTTTGGCCTAACAGTAAACAGATGGTGGGTAGCTGGGTAAGTTGCATGCACACAATCTGTGCGCTTCCTTTGTGTGTAGCATGGTTCATGTACAACGTTTACCTTAAAAACAAAACAAGATAAATAGCTCCTCACGTCTAAGGAAGGAGATTGGAAGGCAGATGTTTATGTTCGGATCCGTGGGGCGCCAGAGAACTCAACAAATGATGGGGCAAATTCTCATCTCTACTCCCACCTCAGCCTCTAGGAGTGACGGCGGCGCAAGCGAGAGCGCTCGCCAGGCTGCGGGGAATCCAGCAGCCAGAAAAAGATGAAAGAGCAGGCGATCGATAGCAGAGAAGGCGCGGGACTGAGAGGCAGGCAGGATTTGGGCAAGGAGAGCATCTTGAAAGCCCTGGTTGAAAGCACGGCCTGAGCCCGGGCGAGCTCCTCTGCCAGGAAGGAGTCAGCCCCCAGCGCGAGGCGGGGGCGAAAGAACTGCTCCCGCGGAGCTCCGCCTCCGCATGAACGGGCCAGGGGACGCGGGGGACACCCGCTGGAACCCTCCTCGGGTGAGGCCTCTCCAGGGTGCAGCTCCACCCGCACGGTTTAAACAACGAAACGAAACTCTCCTGCCTTCCGAACAGGTGAACCTCTTCCGCCTGTCCCCGCGGTGAGGAGCCGCGGCCAGGACGCCCCAGGCCCCGTCGGCGCGCCCAGGCGGGTGCAGACAGGGCGGCAGCGGCGTCCCCGCGGCGCGGACGAGGAAACGAGCCCGCGGCCCGGAGACGCCCCACAGACCCTCGCTCCCGCCGCCCGGCCGGCGGCTCCCCGGACTCCCCGCAGACACCGGCCTCCCCCCTGCTCACCGGCTGCTGCCCCGGGCCGCGCCCCCGGGCGGCGGGGAGGGGACGGGGTTGGGGACCGCGTCGGACGGGCCCGGGCGGACGACGGCGCTCGCGGCCCCCAGCCCCGCCGCGGCCGCGCCGCGGGACACTAGCCCCATTTCCGTCCGCTCTGCGCGTTGCCGCGCGACGGTCCGGCCCCCAAAGGCGCCCGGGCTGCCCGCTGGCCGCGCCCGAGCGTTCCGCGCGCGCGGCGGTCCTGCCTGAGCGGTATCCTCGTCCGAGGGATCGGAGGGCCCGGCCCTGGGGGACCCCGACGCCCCTTGGCCCCGCCTTACCAGGGTGAAGGGACCGCCAGGCCCCGCGTGGAATCCTAAAGGAGCTGTCCGCGGCCCCAGGCCGTACCTCCCACACTACTATCTGCCTGTGGGCTGCCCCAGACCTCTGCAGGCCTGCTGTGCGAAGCCTGCTGGGTCCAGTTTAGGCCGCAGCCACGGGATTTCCAGGAGCGCGCACTCAGGAGTCTCTAGCCCCTCCCGCCACAGGCGCAAAATCTCAGACCAGGGCAGCTTCTAACATTTATTGTGCACCTACTCCGCTTGCTTTCTACATCTGCCCATGTAATCCCCCACCCACAGGGGCCCGGACATATTGAGAAAATCTCAACAGGTGTAACCACAGATGTCAGTGTCCTGGTGATAGATGGAGCGCCACCTCACAGCCTGCAGGGCCGGGCAAGGCAATGAAGACCCCTCACAGGTTAGCAGACTGCTGGGTAAAACCCCCAAGCACCCACCCCCACACTTGTCCCCTTTCAAGTCTCATTTCCCAAGTTGTAACATAGGAGAAAAGGCCATGGTTTTTCTCCTTTTTTTTTTTAAAGCACCAGAAGTCTGTCCTCAGAGGAAGGCTACTCAGGACCTATGCTACCTAGAACCTCCCAACCTTCCTGCCCCGTGCACTTGAAGCTTTTTGGATGCAATTTGCAGAGAATTGAAGACTCAGACAGTCTTCAGAATGGTTTCACATGGGGGAGTGGAGGAGCGGGCACTGAGACTCCAGACCCAGCCATGTGCTTCCCAGATTACCTCAAAGTTTGCCCCTCTGTTCTGTCTCCTCCTTACCTCTGCTCGACCCAGAAAAGCTGCTGAAAACTCAGTACTGTGGGTGCCTCTGAGGTTGGGGGACACTGAGGGGCCACACCCCTGCCCCAAGCCTCCCAGCCCAGCCACACCCACCCTGCCTGCCTCTGATTAGGATCCTCCCTGGTATGTGCTGGTAGGAAGCCTACCACACCAAGGACCTCCAGCCTCTACTGCCAGCAGAAAGTCCAGGCTTCCTGAGACCTGAGTCAGCAAGCCAGGGTCTGAGTGGACAGGTTATGCTGAGTGCAGGGCCAGGGGCACACTGGATGAAGACACAGAGAGGGCCCAGTTTGGGAGATTTGTAGAGGAAGCTTGAAAGGCAGCTAATCTCTGGCTGTGGATGAGATGCAAGTACTCATCAAAAGGACCAGGTCTGGGAATAATGGGGGCTCAGAGTCATGAAGCATGGCCAGTAGCCCCAGAAGAGCCCACCAGCCTCCCATGGTGCTTCATAGCCTCAGGCTGGCCAGGCATGGTGAGGCCTGCCCTTACCAGTGCCTATCATCAGGCCAACTCCCAAGATACTGGTACACCTTGATGTGGTTGTCCCCCGCATCTCCCACCACAAGGTGGCCCTGGGGTGAACAGGCCACAGCCAAGGGTCGCTGCAGCCCCTCTGACAACAAACAGATAGGCGTCCCAGCCCTGGGAAACAGGGTCACCTGGCGCCTCTGCTCGTCAGCCACAATAACACTGCCCTCTGAATCAGAGCACACTCCTGCTGGGCGACCAAAGGTATGCGCCCTCAGAGCCCCCAGGGAGCCCAGGGGCTGGCAGGCACTGCCAAACAGCCACACATCCCCAAACTCCTCGCTCACAACAAGGCCCCCGTCAGGCTCTGGGCTCACCCAGCAAGGGCCCTCCAGACCCAGCACTGAGGCTGGGGCCAAGGGCTCCCAGGTAGGGCCCAATGTGAAGCTGTGCACAGCCCCACGCACATAATCTGTCACCAGGAATCGGCCAAGGGCATCCACAGCCAGCCCTCGAGGGGACAGGAATGTGCCCACCGTCACCCAGTGCCCCTGAGGGTCCCGGGGAGTGTGTTGAAGAGCATGGACAGCCCCATGGATGAGGTCGCTAACCACCACAAGCCCCGAAGCTGTTACAGCCACATCCTCTGGAACAAAGTTCCCAGCCTCCCGCATGCAGCAGGACAGGCGACAAATGGAGCGTCCCTCCAGGTCCAGCACATGGATGCAGGGTGCAGCCCCAGCTGTCAGAAAGAGCAGGCCATCTGAGGAGCAGTGCAGGCCTCGGGGCCCCCCTGCAGCCCCTGCAGGCGCCAGGATCTGCCCAAGTAGCCGGGGCGGCCGGGAACAAATGAGGTCTCCAGGCTGGTCCAGTGTGAGATGCAGTGGGGATCAGGTGGCCAGCAGGGGTGCCCAAGAAGTTGGGAAGTTGGGGAGGGAGGCCAGAGGCAGGAGGATGGGTGGAGTCAGTCTCAGTTCTTCTGCAGCTGCAAGAAAGGTGGCAATGGCCCACTGTGGCTCCTGGTGCCTTTCCTGAGGCACCATGGGGCTGATCTGGGGTATCTGTCTGCTCCCCAAGCTCAGCAACTACCCAGATGATCAGGTACCTTGGAGCTGGAGTCTGGGAGATGTGGCCTACCCATGAAAGGCACAGCATTGCAGTGTCCTGGGGTGGGAGTGAGGGAGTGGCAGATAAGTGGCATTTCCCAAACTCACCTGCTCATGGGACCCCTTCCCTTAGCTCCTGCCAGTCTCAGCCCCTGTCTGTGACCAGTTCAGGGAGACCTCCAAGCCCTGATCTGTTAGGTGGATCCTTTCTAGGACTCTCTGATGCCCCCATCCAGAGTGGCCAGCCAGAGTCCCTACTGGGTCAGACTCCCTGCTCCTGTTGTGGCAGCCGGGCCTCTGTTGTTGGAGACAGGTGGAGGGAGGGGTGGAGCTGCCTGGCAGTTTCCCTGCAGGGACAAATGGGAGGGGCAGTTGGCTAGTCCCAGTTATGCAAGAGCCCGAGAAAGCTCTGGAACATGGACCAAGTCCCCAGGCTGCTGACAACTTCCTGCCTTGGGCCTTCTCCCAAACCCGAACACAGGCCTTACCTTCCCACTTCTGCTATGTGCCTGGGTGCCTCTCAGCCTCACCCAACCCTTTCCAACAGGCCCCATCACAGCCAGAACCAGGCAGCCCCAGGCCACTGCCCCCAGGCAGGACCTTTGCATTAGGGCTTTGGGGAAGGTGACCTGCTGGCTGAGTCACCCTCCTCCCACCCCTCCACAAAGGCAGGTTGGTTCAGACTCTGCTCCTGTGAGGCTACCCCCAGCATGAGGAACTGGGGTGCAGTGGACATGGGGTGCCACAGGGTCTACCTCAGACTCAGGACCTCTGTCCTCAGACACCAGCTGGCTCTGCCCTATAGCCCCTGGGAAGCCTCTGGGCAGAGAGTACTCAGCTGGTACCTGTTGACCCCAATCTGCAACCCACTCTGTGTTCCTCACCCAGCCAGCTGGCACCCCAGCTCCAGACACTGCCTGTAACGCCTTGCAGTGGGGTGGCTGTCTGATGCTATCACCAGGCAGCACGGTCAATGGGGCAGTCAAGAGTCCTGCTCTGACTGGCCCTAGCCTGGCTGGCCCAGTCCCAGCTTGGCCAGCCAGGTACAGACAGGAATGGCACCTGGAGGGCAGCTTGCACTGGGCGTTCCCGGTGGCCATGGAGGACATGCCCACCCCCACCCTGGAAGGCCAAGCGGGCACTGGGAGGGAGGCAGCGAGCTGTGAAGGCCACCGATGCCTATCATGGCTGCAGGGACTGGCGGGGGCCCAGAGAAGGCCACATAGGGTGAGCAGCCCTGAGCCACAGAATGCAAGAGGCATCATGTAACCACATACAAGCTGTGCTAGGGCAGACTGGGCTGTCTGGGGCTGCAGGATGCCCAGGACCCTGCCCACCCCTAAAAAGCAAGTGAGATCATCCTGAGCAGCCCAGACTATGCAGGCATCTCCCTGCCCATCCTGTCTCTGTCCCTAGCCCCTCAAGGAGGGCTAAGTCAGGGCATTGGGATGGAAGGTGGGAGGCCAGAAGGGAGGTCAGGGACACTGCCCACCCAAGATGTCCAGGCTCTGACATTTCCTTGGGAATGTCCAGGCACTTTTGCTGGGGCAGCAAAGGAAGGAGGCCCAGGCAGCGTGTTTGAAGGTGGTATCTATTTAATGTCTATGACTGTGATCAATAAATAACCATGACCTAGCAATTTCCACAGAGCTCTGAGACAGCCTCAGTCACAGGCTGGTGGGGTCTGTCCACATGCACAGGCTGGACAGGCTCCTGGCAAGGGGCCCAGGGCAGGGGCAGGGCCATCACACTTATGTGGCTGTGGTTAGACCTCAGCACCTGTGGGGCTCTGCAGGCCAGGGATATCCTTAGGGGTCTGGGAGCCCCCAGCCCGGACGCAAGTACCCCAGCCACGGCCAGGAATGACAGGGTCCTCATGGGCCTGGAGGGGAAGGCCGGGGGGTGGGACACTGGAGTCTGCCTCACACTTGGTGGTATGGCTGGAGAAGGGCTCAGGTGCTGTGTGGCCCAGCATGCTGGGAGTCTCAGGGGTCCCCCTTGCCAGTGTGGGGCCCAGCTCAGGCAGTTCCCAGGCCTCTGCTCGTGCCTCAGGTCCCTTGGCAGGCACCCGTTTCACAGAGAGGTCAAGAGGTGTGTCCAGTGGCCGTGCTGCCCGCTCCAGTGCCTGGTGGATGGTGAGCAGCTCTCGACGGATCTTTCCTAGCTGCTCCCGCAGAGGTTGGGGGGCCAGGCCCCCAACAGGCATCAACTGCCCCAGGTGCTGTTCCACCCTGGCATAGTCGCTGAGGGCCTGGGTCAGGTCCTCACCCACAGGTCCTGGGCTTCCCAGCACCTGGGCCTGTGACTGCTGGGCGACGGGGACCTCAGGACCTGAGGCCTTGGGGTCACCCAGCTCCTTGTCCTCAGGCCAGAGCATCAGGGAGGAGCCTGATGGCAGGCTGCAGAATAAGAGTCAATCAGAAGGTCACAAAGCCCCCCACAGTGCCCCAGACCCTGCCCCTTGGGTCCCTGACCAGCATGTCACCCATGGCCCCAGGGAAATGGAATAAGGTGCCAGTCTAGGGCTAGGAGCTCCCCAAAGACAGATGAGATGCTCTCAGGTCTCAGTTCTCCTCTGTGGCCTGGAGGCTGTACTCCCAGCAAGTTAGCTTGGAACAGGGTCCACCCCCAACCCAGCCCTTCCCTAAATTTTCCATCCCCAGAACCCGCAGTCCAAGGCACCCACCTGCTCTGGGAACCAAACTTCGCCAGGCTTGAGGAGGCCTTCTGGAGCTCCAGCCTGCTCCCCAGGGGCAGCTGTCTCTGGGGGTCTCCCTCCTGCCCTGGATCCCTGGGGGTGCCATGGGGCCAGGCCCCCCCCAGCCCTGGAATGGGCACCTTCAGCAGCCCAGGAGCCAGAGTCCCAGGGGGTCCCTTAGGGGGCATAGAGGGCTTGGCAGGGCCGGCCCTGCCAGCTGGTAGCCCCAGACTCTGCTCCAGGAGCAGAGGATAATATAGGCGAGGGGCTGGGGCGGCCCGCTCAGGGGACTGTGGGGAGGGGAAGGTGGCAGCGGGGGGCAGCAGAGGGCTGGCTGAGGCCAAGAAGGGCATGTGGGCAGCAGCAGCCAGTGATGGACCCAGGTAGGAGAAGAGGCCAGGGCCAAGAGGGTAGTTGACACCCAGCAGTGACAGGTGGACGCTCTGGGCCTCTGGGAATTCACCCGGGGTGGGTGGTGGGTAGCAGGGGACACTTCTCTCAGGGCCTGTTGAGGCTACAACCCCTACAGCCATGCTCCTTGTACCACTGCCCAGCTCTGGCTTCCAGGACTCCATCAGGAGCCTACCAGGGCCAGGACCCTTCTGAGCAGCCCTGGCCAGAGTGGGCAATGACTCTGGAGACCCCTTGGCCCCAGGCTTAGGGACCTCACTGCAATGGCGCTGGGAAAGGCCGTCAGTGACCATGGCGTCTGGCACGGTGGGCTGCCTGCTATGGCTTGGGGGGTCCCCAGAACCATCTGGGGTAGACATGTGGGGCCTGGGAGAGGAGGGGGCACGGCGGCACGCCCAGTCTGGGGAGTCCAGCAGCAGTGAGAGGGAGTCTTTGCAGAGGCTGTACTTCATGTGGTTGTAGAGGTGGGACTTCTCCAGGCACGTGAAGGGGCACTGGAAGCACTTGTAGTTGTAGGGTTTGCCCCAGGGCCGGGGGATGTAGTGTGGCTTCTTGGGCTTCCGAGACCTTGCCCTGGCCCCAGTTCCCACACGGCACGAGCCAGCCTCACGGGACATGGTGGCTGGCTAGTGGGCAGACTGGGGCACCATGGCTACCTGCAGACAGGGGACTGCAGTCAGCACCAAGTCCCTCAGACTTCCCACTTCCCTTCCTCAGGGCTCCTCAGCTCCAGGAGAAGAGCCCAGGTGCCCCTACCTCCTCTGCCCTGTGGCTTCAGCCCCCTCCCTGAATGCCTCTCCAGGAACCTATAGGGCCTCCAAATTGTCAAATGAAGAATGAGGCACCCAGTCAAACCCAACACAGACATCCAGTAACTTTCTAGGGTAAGTATGGGCTCTGCTGATTTGGAAACTACAATAAAAATTATTCATCATTTACCTGAAAGAAAAGTTTAACTGGGTTTCCTGCATTTTACTGGGTGATCCTGTACAAATCCCTCTGGCCATGAGTACATGCTGGCCCCTGCAGGCCAATTTCTGGGATGGTCAGTCTCTAAGCAGCCCCACCCCCACACAGGCAGGCACCTGAGAGCATTTGGTAAGTGAATGAAGGAAGCCAAATGTGACCATTGCTCCTCCAGAGACCCAGCCCCTATTGAGCCATCTGCCTCTGTGGAGTCAGAGGCCAAGGTGAAGACCACTGAGACAGAAAGTAGCAAAGGCAGCTGAGCACAGTGGTGCACACCTGTGTGATCCCAGCAAGTCAGGAGTCTGAGGCAGGAGGGTCGCAAGTTCCAGGCCCACCTGGGCCACTTAGCAAGACCCTGTCTCAAAATAAAAAATAAAAAAAGGCTGGGGAGCAGCTCAGTGGTAGAGTGCCCTTGGGCTTCATGCCCAGTACTAGCAGAGGCGCAAGTGTCTGGTTAACACTGCCTGTGTGCCTACACGCCTGAGATGCTCCACCATTGTGTCAGGTGGGCACGGGAAATGTCTGAGGGGAGTCAGCCTCACGTGGGGCCAACCCAGGCTGGGGGAGTGAACTTCACAGTATGGCCCCTCAGCACAGCCACCTGCTCGGCCCAGCTCCATCTGGGAGGCTTCAGGCAGGTCAATGACCAAGCCTGCAGTGGCCCTGCTCAGCCAAGACCCTCTTCTCCCCACGCCCCACAACACAGGCTGGCTTGGAAACTGCTCCACACTCCATCTGGGCTGCCACCTGGGCTGCCCACTGCCCCAGCACTTGTGCCTGGGCGAGGTGCATGGTGTGTGTGTACACACAGGCTTTGGGTGTGTGTGTCGTGTGCAGGGTTGCAGAAGCCCTTGTTCAGCCCCTGCAGGAATAACCTCTGCATGGCAAGCCGATTCTGCACAGGAGGCCTCCATGTGCAGAGAGCCTGGCACACACACACAGCCCTACCCTACTCGGTGGACATGGCTACTCGTACACCAGAGCAGAGTTAGGGCATATGTGTACACACACACCCAAGTACACAGGCAGATACTGTAGGGACTCACACACGGTTACAAAACCACAAGTGTGGACACACTGTGCCTCACAATGGCCAGGGAAGGACTGGGGATAGCTGGGCAGTTGCTGGACACAGCCTTCCTTCCTGATGGTGATTATGCTTTACCCACTGCAGTTACCCTTGTGGCCACCAAACACCAGGTGGGCATCTCTATTAGAGGAATGGCCAGGGGGTGGGGAGGGCTATCTTTCCAAATGTTTGGGGCCCCACAGGGCAGCATCGCCAAACCTGGGTGTGGAGTGTGGGCCAGCAAAGGCTTAGAAGAGCTGCAAGTTTGGAAGGAGGCAGCTGGCCCAGGAAGGGGCTGCAGACCCAGCTTGGACTTGGTGGGTACAAAGCAGCCCCTTCTCCCTGCCTGGTCCCCCACCCCACGAGATGTAGATGACAGATAGGAGTGCTCAGGCGACAGAGGCGGCTGTGCTGGGGCCATCGATCACCCAGCCCTGGGAGCCACACAGCTGTGCCAACTGGTGCTGCCTCCTACTCCACCTCCCAGCCCGGATTTGGGGCTCCTCCTGGGCCCCTGGACTCAATGGGGGTTCCTCCTGTGCTTCCCTCCAGATCAGGCACAAGGGGGGGGCTCTTCTGGAAGCCATCTTATCAGCTGTTGACCCATGAGGACCCAGAGGACATCTGGGACCCACCCAGCACGGATGCATGGAGGGAGGACACCCCCACACCGGCACAACAAGAAAACACTCACCTCCACACAGCACATCCCAACCTGTGCCCAGGTGCAAGCTCACAGACACTTGGAAGCATCCCCTTCTGGGGGAGAACCCGCTGAAGGGGGTACTGGGCAGCCACCAGGTCACAGCCCGCCGATCTCCTTGACCACTCGGGACTCTGGGTGCGCCACCCATGGGCTAACGAGGGAGCCGAACCCAGAACCCAGTCTTCCCCTGGCTGAAGCGCAGCTGGTTGGGACCCCACACCCTTCCCCCGACTCCCCGCTGCGGCGGCGCCAAGGTGGCCCCTGGCAGAGCCTGGACCCCAAACGCAGTGGCAGTGGGGAGCTGGGGGAGCCGCGCTGCTGCTTTCTGCGCCCCGCGCCCTGCCCGGCCCGCCCGGCGCCCCAACTTCGCGGGAAGCGCCGCCTGCCTTACCCGCGTCCGCCAGCCGAGCCGAGCTTGCGGCGCCCGCCAAGTCTGCGCCAGGCTGCGCGGAGAGGCGAACTTCCCGCCCGCGCCCGCGGACGCCTCAGGGAAACTGAGGCCGGGCGCGGGAAGCGGCCCTCACTCGGCAGCGACCCTGGAGCCACCGCCGCCTCTGCCCGCGTCCCCCCGACGCCGCCTCGCGCCCACCGAAGTTGGCGGCGAAGCGCGCGCGTGCGCCACGGCGCGGGCTCCGGGCGCGGCGACCTCCGACAGGGCTGGGGCGCGGGAGGCGGAACGGCCCCAGCCCAGGACGCCCGCCCCACCTCCTCCCTCATCGCCTTGGCGCACTCACCGGCCTCACCGGACGGCTCGGGATGGAACAGCGCCGGACACGCCGCGGTGCAGCCGAGACAGAGTGGCGCGCAGGTGCGCGGCGAGTGAGGGGCGCCTGGCACCGTCCCCGCCCCCGTCGCCTGCAGGCTGCCGCGGGGGTGCGCGGAGGCGGCCAAGTCTCCCGGGTCCCGGCAGCGGCGTGAGGGGGCGTCAGCGCTCATCCGTCAAGGCTGTGGCCCCTGACAGCCGCCTGGCCACCCAGGCTGGGGCTGCGGGCTGCGCCCCAGGACAGGGTGCCCCCCAGAGCCAGCCGGGAGGGACCGCGCCTAGAGCTGAAGCAGTGGAGCCAGCGCGCCCTTGCAGCTTTCCTTGGGCCGGTTCGCCTCTACGGATCCTTTACTCCAAACCGGAGGCGAAATGGGTGTGCTCCCCACGCCTGGCCCACAGCCGCCACTGCCTCAGGCTGGTCACCTCGCGCTGACACCTATCTGGGTCCAGCGCCGTGCTCTGTCCTCATTCCCCCCTCCCTGGGAGGTGCCCCAGGGCTGCATTCGCCTGCTGTTTCAAAGACCTCTTCTCACTAGCCACACTCCTGGGAGAACCTGTGCAATGGTGAGGGGACCTCAAGGCCCTGGGTGTTCACCCAGCACACCATGAATCCGGGCAACACTCTCCCCCAGTGTCCTCATGGCCAGAGCTGTTCTGCAGCTGTCAAAACTGAACATTCCAGGGTCCCACTTCTCAGCCGGTCCTGGCAGAAATTCACCTGATCCATCCACTCCACCTAGAAGTGGACAGAGATGCAGCTGGGCAGAGCCAGATGATTTCCTTCCAGGAGTCTGCCTATGATTCTCAGAAGACTCCTGACCCAGAGTTGTGTGGCAATTTTCGGCATAGTGACTCCAGCCAGAGGAGTAGTCACTGCCTGCTCTGTGGAGGCAGAGAGCCACTTGACCCCTGTACACCAAGGCTTCCTGCAGGCTCAGCTACTGATTCCTGGGGCCTCCCTAGCCTAGGTCAGGGGAGCAGAAGTCCTGGGGGGAAGAAGAGGACCCTCAAGTGGCTTCTGGTGTTGCCTTTTTAATGGGGTAGCCAGAGAGGAGCACTGGACCCAGAAGCCTAGCATCACCTGGTTCCGTGACCAGCCAGTTTGTGCAGTGGGGTGGTGGCAGGGATCCCTCTGCTGACCAAGGATCAGGGCCCCATGGTTTTGGGGGATGGGCAAAACCTTCCTCCTGCCCCCATGTTACCTTTCTGACACTAGCCCACTCCTGAGGGACACCCCAGAAGGGCTGGGGGATGGGAGGGGTGCTGTGGCCAGAACAGCATGCCATCCTTCTCTCCCTGACTGGCCTGGCCCAGCTGACCAGCTGACCGTGCAGGTGGCCCCAGGCTGGGAGACAGCTTGGGCTGCCATCTTGCCAGCAGCCCTGTGGAGAGTGGGGGCCAGGATACCGTCCCTTGTTATGAGCATTGACCAGAGAGGCCAAAGTCACTCTGAGACAGTGGGAGTGAGGGGTCCCAGGGACAGCTGTGTTCTCTCTAGTCCTCACTGGCCAGCCTCAGGCTGACCGTTCTGAGGGTCTGGGAGAAGCTATTTCTGACAGCACAGGGGATGGGCTGGCTGGAGGCTGTGGCCATCATCCAGGGAAGCCCTGGTCTTAGAGAGCTGTGGTCTTGGGGATCTGTGGTCTTAGGGAGTCTGGTCTTGGAGAGCCTGGTTGTGGGGAGCTCTGGTGTTAGGGAGTCTGTCTAGGGAATATGTCATGGAGAGCCCTAGAGAGCCTGTTTTGGGAAGCCTCATCATGGAGAGCCTGTCTTATGGAGCCCGTCTTGGGGAGCTCGCCTTGGGGAACCTATCTTAGGGAGTCAGTCTTGGGGAGTCCTGGTCAGAGGGAGCTTGGTCTTGTCATGTAGGAGCAAAGCCATGTGAAGCTCAGGTGACTAGATAGCCCCAGAGAGGGGAGGAGGCCAGGACAGGGTCAGAAAAGCAGGAGATAGCAGGAGGGGCCCACTCTGCCCAGCAGTGGAGCCCCTTCCCCTACCTGATGGGAGAGAAGAGGAGGGACAAACCCTGAGAGGGAAAGGCACACCCTGGTTGCACTCTGGGGCAAGCCCTGGGTTTGCTTGAGAAGTCTGGGGCTGGGCATGGATGGCTGTCTCCTGCCCTCTGCCCCAGGGGCTCTGAAGCACATCCAATGCCACATGGTGGCTCCTCCCTTTCCTTCTAGGTCATGACTCCCTGCTGAGACAACCCTTCCCCCAGGGGAAAACCTTGGGCTCTGGGAGGTGGCCCTTGCCTCCTGAAACAGGGACTGGACTCCCCTGTGGCTCAGAGCCAGTGGACCCCCGCCCACACTCCCTGGGCCTTAGTCCTCTCTGCAGAAGAGGTGGAGACTCAGTCTGGCTCCAGTGGGATTCTGGACAGGGGCCTGGTTCCTGGGTGCTGGTGCAGGCTGCCCCTCCTCAGCCATTAACCTTCTCTGCCCAGTCTACCACGGCTGCCAGCCTGTCACCTTCATTTCTGCCAGAACTGACTGTGTGGGGGGCTTGTGTGCTGGGCTTATCAGGCCAATTGGGGTCTGTGGCCACTCAGTGCCTGGGGGAAGACCTGTCCCATCCCCTCAGTGTCACACCCCTAGCCAGGACAGGTGTGTGGCTGGGCCACCCAGCACCTGTCCAAGAGACACAAGGATGGGATAGAGCCCCCAGGCCAGCCCTGAAGCCCACAGTGGGACTGTCTGTGCAGTGGCAGGAGCCCTGGGTCTTTCTGGGGTGGTCAGAGCCACACAGGATGTTTGGCCACAGCTCATGCCTGCCCACTCACTGAGGAGCACTGGCTGGAGGGCACAGGCATCCTTAGGCTTCACCTTCCTTGATGTGGTCCTAGGGACTTCAGGCTGGGGCAGGTCCAGGGCTGGACTGAGGGCCGTATTTTCTGAGGGTCCTGCCCAGGACTAAGGCTGAAGACCCTGAGGAGACTGGGGACCTGAGGGAGGTTCATGAGGGGAGGAACAGGGCAGGGAAGTTGAGTGGGCAGGGAGAGCCGGGGCTCACGAGGGCTGGGCAAGAATGTGGTTCCTGGGGTTGGGGCATCCCGGGATCCGACTGCTTCCCTCCTGGACAAATGGCACTCTTGGAAGCCCTTGAGAGGGTGAGAAGCAGGTGCTATGTGCTGTTGTGGGAGTGAGCTCCCTGTCAGGGGAGCATTCCTGCTGGGGCAGGGGCCTCTTGGTTCATGAGGGCGCAGCCGGCAAGGCGGGTAGAACGAGAGACCCGGGTTGCCCATGCCCCCACCCGGTCTCTGAGCCTGGCACTGGCTGAGCAGTGCCCGGGGCCGACAGCAGCCATATGCTGGGAAGAGAGGCTGAGCGTGTTGCTCTGCGGCCCCCAGGGCCAGCCTTCCTGGACTTGTCACAGATGATTTTCCCCGCCTGAGTGGCAGGCCGGCTGTCGGGTGGGGCAGTGGGGGCCTGCAAGCTAGACCCAGGTCTAGGCAAGAGCTGCCCTCAACTTCGGGACTCAGCTTTCCTTGGGACAATGCAGGTAGTGGGCCCTAGGCTTGGATTCCCATAGCTTTCCCAGAAGGCATGACTGTCCAGCTCAAAGTCAAGGGCCCCAAGGAGAGCCCTGGCTGCCCAGGGGATGGGCCTTCCTGTTTGAATGTGGGCAGTGGCCAGGGGTCCACACCTGGCAGTGTATGCCCTGGGCAGGCAGGAGAGGGCCCCAAGCTGCAGCTCTGTCAGCCCAGCGCCCAGAGCAGGGAGGCAGGGAGGCTGCGACTAATTTGTACACTAAATGCTTCTGACAGGGAGGCCTCACCAGTGAGAACCCGCTGCCCAGGAAGGCTGCTGCAGCATGCTGCGCCAACAGTGAGGGCTAGGAGAGGGCTGGGGCACGGGGCCAAGTGGTCAGGAAGTCGGGGAGCAAGGTGGGGAAGGGTAGAGATGTGGGGAGGGGATGAGGGGCAGAGTGGAGGGGGAGAGGGCTGGAAGACCCTGGGGTGGAGACCGCCAGGCAGGGCCCCTAAGACCCCTGGCATCCACTCCCTGCCTTAGCAGCTAGTCCTGTCTGCTCCTCACTTGGGCTTTGTGAACCCCTCTAGGGCCAGTCCACCCTGCTGTCTACAGGCTGGCTCAGGTACCAGGTGCACTCTAGAGATGGCCGAACTGCCCAGTCCAGCCCACTGATGGGACAGTGTTTTGAGACCCATTCCTTGGATTGGCCCAGCCACTCCCCACCTGCTCTCCACACAGAACCTCCTCCTCCTCCTCCAGGACTCTGCCTCAACTTGCATCAAGATCCCCTTCCTGCCTCCTGCCCAATGCTGGCCTAAGGGTCTTGCCTGCTAGTGCCCCCACCTCCTTTATGGACACCTTAGGTTCATATCCCCTGCCTGCTGGGATCCAAAGGGAGGGGAGGGTATCAGCTGGGTCAGAGGGGGAGGGTGTGCTGCTGCTGGCCTGTCGGGGACACCCTGCCCGGCCCTGGCAGTTATCTCCCAACTTGGACCTCCCTCCTGGACTGTCTTGGGGCTGGAGAATGCAGAGGCCAGAGGAAAGGAAGGTGGGTGCCAGGTAGGGCATATGAAAGGGGCCTTGGAAGGAGCCAGGGTCCTAGGTTGCCCAGGGATCTCAGGGGTGGACAGAGGCAGCTCTGGCTAGATACACAGGTGAGCTAGGCCCGGCCCCCACCCACAAGAGGTCCAGCCTGGTGCGCAGACGCGAGGGGCCAGGCGGCCTGTGGGCGTGAGGTGAGATGTGCTGTGGCAGCTGCCCCGCTGCCTGAGGCCCGCCCGGAGCGAACACTGCTGGTGGCTTTAATTGCTTTCACATTCGATGGGCTGGCCTATGACAGGCCTCTTACACACAGCGCTCTGGTCGCACACTCCCAGCCCCCGCTCTGCCCAGGGGGTGTCCTCCAGCCCCAAAAGGGACCTGGGCTGCTGGCCAGAGACAGGCTGAGTGGCTCAGCATCACCTGTGACACCAGGAGGCCAGGAAGGGACGTGGAAGCAACTGCAGGGCAGGAGCTGCTGTCCCACTCTGCCCCCCTTGCTCCATCTGCTCCTGCCTGGTGACTGATGGGTTCAGACAGGGCCCTGAACACAGCAGGAACCCACTCACATGGACCCTCCCGTCTGGCTGAGGTTGCAGGGTCTGGCTGCAGCTCCTGCCTACCTGGATACCTGGTCCTTCCTGCAGAGCATCTTCCTGGCTGCCCCACCCCTCAGAGGCTCACATGAGGCTGACCTTGGGCAGCAATGAGCATTCATGGCACAAGCCCCACTGCCCCTCAGCAGGGCTCCACCAGCAGAGACCCCACCTACCAGCTGGGAACAGCCTGTGCTTCCTGCAGGGCCTGGACCCCAGGAGGGTGGCGACAGACATTAGGCTCCCTTACAAAACAAAATGATTTTATTTGGTCCTTGGAGCCTGAGTGGGAACCGCCTGTGGAGCCTTGGACAGGGAGGGACTGACAGCTGGTAAAACAGCCTGCGTGTCCAAAGAGCTGACCGTATTTACAGGGTTAAAAACATTCACAGCTCAGAGGAAAGGAGGCCTGGGGAAGGGGGAATGTTTCTCTAGGTGTAAAAACCCACAACCCCCGTGGGATGCGAGAGCCGTGGGCAGGCTGGCTGCCTGCTGCCCGGGAGCTGCAGGACAGTGGTGGCCGGGCAGGGGACCCAGGGAGCTGGACTCGTGTCCCTGCAGCAGACAAGAACTCTGGCCTCAATACACAGCTGGGGGGATGCTGGACAGGTAGGCAGCTCAGCTCCCGGGCTTCTAATGGGCAGCAGCTATGCCCTGTTGTGCCCATGATGGGCTGGGCTGAGGCCATGGGATGGGACTGGTGCAGGGTGCTGGACCCTGGCTACCTGGCCATGGTCAGGATGCTGAGGACAGAACACTTCGCCAGACAGCAGGGCTGGCCCAGCACCCCGACCCACTGCCCGTCATGGCTTCGATCCTGGTAGGTGCTCCAGGAATTGCATAGTGTCGCAGGAGGGGCAGCTAGACAGGGACCCCTCTGACCCTGAGCCCTGGCCTGTGGCCACCAGGCACCTGCCTGCTGAGGTGCACTACTCAAATGCCAGTTTTCCAGGGACCCCTGCTTGCCTCCTTGAGGCAAGGAGGCTGGCTGGCTCTTAGGGCAAACTGAGAGGGGAAGCTGCAGACCTTGAGCCCCACAGGGGGGTGGTCCCGACTCTCCATGGGGTCTTGGCTCCTGACCCCAGATTTGGTTTTGTGAACAGAGCTCTTGGTTGCCTCTCCCTGGTAGGAGACCCCACACTCACTGTGAAGGGGCAGCCCCCATTTTGGCCCTGGCCACCTGAAATTGTCCCCAGGTGGCAGGTCAGAGTGGCCAGTAAGCAGCCTGTCCAGTTCGAGGTATTCTGCTTGGCAGCTGGGAGGCCTGGCCTGGGGACTGAGGGGCTGGGAGGGGAGAGGAGGGACAGGGCAGGGGTGGGGGGCCCAAGGGAAGCTGCGCCCTGAGGCTGGTGGCTCCCTAGGTGGGGTCCTGAGATTCTGGTTCAAGCGTCCTCCGTTGGGGTCTCCCTCATAAAGTGCGTGTGAGAGGCAGTGGGCAGTCCACACACAGCCCTCGCCCCAGGACGCAGCAGTCACAGCGGCCGGGGCCCATGTAGGCCAGCAACTTCAGGTGTGAGTGGGGGGCTGTGGGTGCCCCTGGAGGTTGTCCAGTCGCTGAGGAAGGCCTGGGCTGCCTTGCGGTGTGCCAGGCGGTGAGTAATGGAGAAGCCTGCATTGCCTTCCAGCTGGGACAGGATCACCAGGACCTGCCTGGGGGAGAGGGCTAGTGAGGACCAGTGGGGGCCTGGGGGTGGGGTGGGGCCGGGGGTTCCCACCTGTGCAGGGGCGGCACGCTGTCCTGGGTGCGCAGGCTGCCGCGCGTGGACACCACGTTGAAGCTGTCGGAGCAGTCGCACTGCACGTGCAGGTAGGCCTTGGGGTGCCGGTTCTCCACCACCACGATGAGCCCCGCCCAGCCATGTGTAAGGTAGTAGCAGGTCATGCCCTCGCGGCCCTGCACATAGCCAACATGGGCAGCTGCCCCTGCCACAGGCCTCCCTCCACCACACAGGGACCTCACCTACCTCGTGCCGCTCTCCCCGGCTCTCAGTGAGCAGGATGATGGCGTCCGCCAGAGTGGTGGGCTGCGCTTCTACTGGCTCCACCATGACTAGCCTCGAGCTGTACACCGCAAGCACGTGGCCAGGAGGCTCAGGGGTACCTCGCGGAACCCCTGTAGAGGGGCTGGAGGCTGTGGGGGGGCATGTGTGAGGGAGCTGGAGGCCTTCCTGCAGGGTGGGCCTTTGGCCTCTGAGGGAGGGGCCTAGGGTCTAGGGGAACCATTACCCTGCATGGTGGGGGGCCCTGGTGGAGTGGGACTCCAGTGGTTGAAGGCACAGCACACCACTGCGTACTCTCCGGGCTCCAGCATGACGTCACAGTTCACAAACTTCTTGACTGCTCTCTTGCTGTGGGCCAGGAGGCGGCCCAGGCTTAGGCGGCCACCACTGCCGAAGGTGGCCCGGAACACCAGGATGCACAGATCCAGGAGGTGGCTGTCCCCCACGTCCGAACGCCTATGGTGGCAGACGGCAAGCTGGGGCCTTGTGCAGTGCGGCCGTGGACCCATCCTGACAGAGCCCCCTGCCTGCTGCCCACCTGCTGCCCTCCTGGAAAAGGGCGAACTCCAGCGAGGCTCGCTCTAGCACCGTGAGTGCCGTCACGCCCACTGGCCCGCTGGCTGAGCTGGGGAAGCAGCCCTGCACCCGCGCCTCCTGCCAGTCTGAGTGCACCTTGCAGATGTCCACAGAATCGAAGTACCTGGGTGGCAAGAACAGGCTTCTGAGCAGAGTGCAGCCCCATGCCCAGCACCTGGATGCGGTATCCACTTCCCAGCAACTACCCACAGGCTCCCAGCACTGCCTTCCAGCGGCATGACCACCCCCACCCTACCCCCGAGCCCTTAGCATCTCTTAGACCAGCATCCAGTGCCACTGATCAGAAAAGTCCTTCCAGTAAGGAAGCACTTGTCCTGGCTGCTATGCTTGGACAGGATGGCTCAGAACATGAGCCCTACTGACCTGGATCCCAGGTCTGTCCAGAGGTGTGGCTCAGAGCCCCCACAAAGGCCAGGACACAGATGAGCTGCTGCCTGCCCAAGATAGCAGGAGAGCTGGCTGTGCTTGTAGCCAAAGGACAGGCAGGCAGCCCAGGTACCTGATGAAGTCGCTGTACTCCATCCAGAACACACCCTCACTGCTGCCACGTGGCATAAGCTCGCCCCGCAGGTGCCCAGGCCAGTGTGGCCACTCGTCTGACCAGCTGCCATTCCAGGAGAAACGGCCCCAGGGGTTCCGCAGTCGTAGGAGCCTGAGGATCACAGGGCTGAGGGGCTATGCCTACACCTCTATAGCTCCCACCCATGTCCACATATGTGGCTGCCCACAGCCAGCCAGGCCCTACCTTGAGCCCTGGACATCACGGACGTCCAGGATAGAGTAGGCGTGGCGGGGACGCAGGCCCAGGCTCTCATAGGCAGCATCATCTACCTTCATGTTGCCCCCACCACAGGAGGCACCCATGAGGAACCTGTGTGGGCAGAATGGCTCTTGTTAACTGGGATGGGCAGGGGTGGTGGGAAGGGGCTCCTCCCTGCCTTTGGGGCACATGGGTCCCCAGGAACCACATAGGATATGCCCAGGAAGTTTTGACTTAGCCCTCCACCTTGCCTGAGCTGGGGCAGGTGGGGACCATGAGGAAACATGGGGCTGGCTTAGGGATCACACATTGACCAGGGCAGTGCAGGTCTTGAATACCTCCCACGGGCACCCTGTGGGCTAGCACCCCACCCCTGGCTCCATGCAGGAGGCGATGGCCACTGGGCTCTTCCCACAGCCCCAGCTCCACCTGGGGCAGATCCTGGCCAGGCCTCCAGACCATGGCCAGCCTGCGTTGGAGCACCGTGTGAGTCGCAGGTGCAGCTCAGAGGGTGCTGCCCCCCGCTTCTCCCACCGTTCGCCTCGCCTCTCCGCCCAACGCCGCAGGCCATGGCAGCACCCGCCCCTCTTACCCAGCCTCCTTAGAACTCAGCATTTTGGCCCAGATGAGGTCAGTGTCAACGGGTTCCTCGCGGGGGTTAGTGGAGCTGACCTGCAGCGCCAGGCTCTCGCAGGGGGCGCCGGTGAGTGTGGCCAGGCCTTCGATGGCGCGCCCTGCCTGGAGGGCAAAGTAGGAGCCATGCAGCTTGGCCAGCGCCTTCTCGATGAGGGCCACCCACAGCTGCTTCCGCTGCGCCTGGGGAGGGGCTGGAGTCACAAGGCCTGCCTCAGCCCACCCCCCACAGGCCCATTGCCCACTTGCAAGGAGAGGAGGAAGCCAGCCTCACACCCCTGCCTATTGCCCACCTGCGAGAAGAGAAGGAAGCCGGCCTCGTCACAGGGCAGCATGTCATCCACCAGCACTGTGGTCCACGTGCCATCCTTGCACAGCCGCACCTGGTAGGCGCCCTCTGCGCACAGGCTGCGGGTGACCATCACCCGTTCGACCAGGTCAGGCCGTTCAGCCAGCACTGCCAGGGCACTCAGGAACCTGTGTGGAGTTAGGCAGCTTCACTAAGTGACCATAGCTGGACCAACAGCCTCACCATCCTCCCTTGGGCCTGTGGGCCCTTGCCAGGAGCCCAGAGCCTCACCAGCAGTTCCCAAGCAGCCCCTGCAGGATGTCTGAGGGCCGGAGCGTGTGGAAGACAGACCATGCAGTGCTGTGGTCCCTGAAGACGGAGCAGTTGATCTCATGGGGCCGCAGCCACTGCTTCACACGCTGCTGGACGCTGTCGCCCACAGGGAAGCCCACAGATGCGGGCCCTGGGGGGAAGCTATCATCCACAAAGTTCACCTTGTTCTGTAGGGACCATGGCTGGACATCAGGCCAGGCAGGGTGGCCTCACTTCACCTTTCAGAAGCAAAACCTGCCCTCCCAGCAGAGCCCCAGAGCAATGGCATGGGGTCTATGTGCAGCCCAGACTTCAGTGCTCAGAACCCTGACCTGAGTGGGCATTGGGGAATGTGGCAAATGAGCTAGATACCACAGGATGGTGACAGGCAGGTCACAACACACGTGAGCATAGGGAGGGAAGCTGTTCTTCCAGCCACCTTTAGAGGTAAGAGGATGCTACCTCACGATCAGCCTCTGAGAGCACAAGGGTGTCCTGACCTCCAGTTTCAGTGGTTTCCATGTTGCCTGGAGAAGCCCTGCCTGCACCCTACCTTTCTGTGGGCTTACATGCATGAAGGGGCTTGGAGCAGCAGTCAGCAGGTGGGGAAGAGACCTCTCACCTCCCGGCAGAAGGCCACGATGTCCTCCCAGAGAGCCTTGGCCTCGCCCTCATCTGTCTGCCGCCGCTTCTCCACATGCATACTCTCTCTACGCTTTAAGGGCGCCACAGCCCTGCGCCGGGTCACCAGGAGCTGGGGTGTGTGGCAGGCTGCACAGTGCTTGGCCCGGGGTGCGTTGAGCAAGGTACAGGCAGGGCAGGCCCACTGGCCTGGACGCTCAGAGAGAAGACTGGTGGCCTTGTGGGCAGAGGGGCCAGGTCTGTCAGTCCCACAGTCTGGACAGTGGATGGGGGGTTCACTGTGCTCCTGGAAGCCATGAAGCTTAGAGCAGCCACATACTGTGCACCTGGGGGCAGCTGTGGGGTTCCTGAGTGTGCATTTGGCACACGACCAGGTGGTGAAGTCGGGGCTGGAGGGACTGGCGGGTGTGTAGCGCACAGTATCCCCAGCTAGATCAATGACATCACTGCCTGGGGAGGGGCTGCAGGCCTCACAGCGGGCAAGGATGGTCCCTGGGGCCACCTCCTCCTCCAGCACACTTAGCCGCTGGCCTGAAAGCAGCTCTGCCAGGCGTGAGGCCCCAGCAGCCGTGGCCCGGCCTGGGCCCTGGGGGGGCCCTTTGGAACCAGTGGAGGAAGAGGGCTGAGCAGCCTCAGGCACAGGTGGCTGAAGCTGGGGGGGTACTTCTCGGCGGCTTCGCGGCACAGGGTTGTTCTGCAGGGTGGGTGAGAAGGGGCTGAAAGGAGGTACCCTGGGAGCCTCCTGGTCAGCAGAGGCTGGGCCTTGGCTGGTGGAGGGAGTGTCAGCCTCAGCACCTTCCCCAGGGAGCACTGGCTGGGGTGGGGCAGGTACTACATGGAAGCCTGTGGGGGCCACAACCTCGGGTACCACCAGGGCTTCTGGGGGGATCCTGGGCAGTGACAGTTTCCGGGGGCCCCCACAGGCAGAGCAGGAGCTGGCCACGGGTGTGTTGTGCAATGTGCAGCGTTGGCAGGCCCATCCACTTCCGGGCTCTGCCCCCTCCTCCTCATCTTCTTGCTCCTTCTCCTCAGTGCATCTTCCAGCTGGCTCTAGGGCCACTATCCCTGCTGTCCGCACAGAGCCTGTCTCCTCCTTGCAGCTGCCTTTTGGCTCCACCAGGATGGTGGGTGGTTTGGGCAGGATCCCATTGATGATGGGCAGCAAGGATGCTCCAGGCACAGGCTCTGGGGTGAAGCCACACACCTCGCAGGCCTCCTTGCCCAGGAAGTTCCGGAATGTGCAGCGGGCACAGGGCCACTTCTGTTCCTCTACGCTGAGCCGCAGGATCTGGTCCAGGTCAGGCTTGTGCCGAGGGGCCTCACAGATGGAGCACTGGCGCTGGCCAGCAGGGTTCAGGAAGGTGCAGCGCGCACAGGACCACTCCCCAACCGCGGCCATAGACCCAGGCGAGTGTGTATGGCTGCAAGGAAAGGCCCTGGTCAGGGAAGCTCCTGTGGGGTCCGTGATCATGATGTCCTATAGATGGTAGGACACCACCCTCCCAGGGAGGGCAAATGGTCCTGGGGGAGGCACCTGCCTGTGACCGCAGAACTGGTAACCTGGTGTGGTCAATGTGGGGTTAGGCTGTGCAGTGCCCAGAGCTCAGGGGTGCAGGGGAGCTATGGACAGAGACAGAGGGTTTACAACCTCTGGCCCTCCCTTCTGTTAGCTAGGCAGTGATAGTTATGGGGGTATTGCATGAAGTCTGCCCGAGAGGGCTGCTCAAGCACAGCTGAGGCTGCAGGACAGACGCTATGTGGGCCTGCCCAGAGGTAGACAGAGAGGCCTGTACCTAGCACTGTTCTGAGGACAGGGCACTCCCTCCCGCCAGGCGCTGGAACCAGAGGCTGAGCTTAGCACCCGGAGGGAGGCTGCCTACAGCCCTGAATGCAGCTACCTGTGCTAGGAGGGTTCCTGGGCCCCTGGCCTCACTGTTTGCTCCCCAGGCAAAGTCCCTGCTACTCCTGGATGGAAGGGGAGGCACTGGGGCCCAAGGCAAGGTAGGAGGGATGAACTACGACTCCTCCAGGGCCTCACCGGGTCTAGGATTGGGGGTACGGTGGGGCCCGTGGGGCTAAGCCAGGGTGAGGGGGGTCTCCATACTACACAATATCTCTTAAACTGACTGTAGCTGCTCTGCCTGCAGGAAAATCAATTATTCTTTATAGTGAGGCACAGGCATGAGGCATGAAGCTTGGGCTTCTAACCCTTTTGATTTAGGAAGAATGAAAACTCGCCTCTTTAGGGGGGGAAAAAATTCTCCCCTAGCAACACAATTGTTTCCCAGAACCCAGAGGACTCCAAAGCAGATTCTCTGTGCAGGCAGAGACCCTGCAAGAAAGGTAGGTGGAAGCGTGACTGGATTCACATGGCAGAGGCACTTGGTTGCCCTTGTACACTGTCCACAGTGTAGAGTGCAGGGCCCAAGTGAACAGAAGGGGCTCCATAGACCCCTGGGGTAGATAGGGTGCACTTGGCTGGGTTCAGAGCCCAGGCCAGGCAGTCCATTTTGACCTGGGATTCTATGCTCATAAACACCAGAAAGATTTCCTGGAGAGAAGAAACCTGTCCCTTTCCCTCTTCAGAGAAAGGCTTATGGTCGAGGCACGGAGTGCAGCATAGGCATACACAGAAACATGCACACACATGCAAGAGCACATACCAATGGACAACTCGCTCCACCTGCACACCCACTTGGAGCATAGCCGAGCTGGGCAGTGGTGACCTGTGTGGGGCTGACCCTTCACAACCCACTCCTCAGGAGGATTTTCCAGAGAGAAGACAGACTGATGCAGCATTTGACATCACACAACTCTCAGGGTAGGGTGTCTTGGCCCTAGGCCCCTGGTCAGCATAGATTTGAGCAGGAAAAACCTCAAAAACAATAGTGTGGGAGTCAAGTCTCTGTACCCCTGGGAGCTGGCTAGCATAGCCAGTGCCCAGCTTATATCCAGGTATGGTGTCTGCTAGTCTGACCAGTACCTGAGAGGACATGACAGAGCTGTCCTGGAAGATGAACTGAGTCAGGAAGGTCCTGTCCACAGTTTGGAAAGGTTTAAATGAAAACAGGGTAAGGTGGGAGGAACAGAAAGCAGTGGCTCATTTGTGGCTGGGAGAGGCCTGAAGGACCAGGGACTTTGAGGGCTGATCACTTCTGCATGACATGGGTCATGACATGACATGAAAGGATTCAGGGACAGCACGACAGCCAGGAGAACTGATGGGCCTATCCTTCAGCCTCCTTGGCTCACTTGTTCTACTACCCATCACTCAAGGCTACTCTCCATTTTGAAGGGTCTGGGAGGAGACAAAGGACTCAAAGCCCGAAATCCACAAAACATCAGTAGACAAGGCCAGAATACTACTAAAGTGTATAAGTAAAAGCCTGCATCAACTAGCCACTTGAGTGGCTGCGGCAGGAGGACTGCAAGTTTCAGGCCAGCATTGGCAACTTAGTGAGACCCTGTTTCAAAATTTAAAAAATTAAAAGGGCTGGGAATGTAGCTCAGTGATAAAGCACCACTGGGTTTGGTCCCCAGTACCACACACAAAAAAGAAGGTACTTCAAAATTCACAGAACACCTGTTGTGCCCTCAGTTCCCTGGGCCTTGCCAACACTCAGTTCTAGCTGGAAGGGAGGGGTACAAAGTCCACCTGACATAACCAGGAAATGAGTGCTTGGAGCACATGGAGGCTGCACATCCTGGGCTTTCCTCAGGAAGAGATAAATGAGACAGGTGTCCCACTCACAGGGCCTTAGTCAAAGCCACCTGACTTTTGGAATTGGGCTTCTGGGGCAGCTGGCCCAGCAGGCCACACTGAGACAAATGCCCCTGACCACCTGTGCAGCCTAATGAGTGACCCTGCCAATTCCCCAAAGGCACCAGGCTTGGTTTGGTGGCTCTCCATCTGTGTTCATGGTAGATTCTGCCCTGGGGGCTTCCACCCGACACTCTCAGGGGGACAAGGGCACGTCGCTCTTCCTTGGGCTGGTCACAGTCCACGCCTGGTTGCCCTTTCTGGGTGGGATGCATCCTCCTTATCTTTTTCTCTAGGTGGCCAAAGTCTGAACCAGTTGCTCACTAATTAAGCACTTGGGCAAGACACTGGACACAGGTACCCAATTAGCAGAGAGAGATCTGCACACTAGGCTCTCCCAGGCTGAGGTAGTCCGTGACTTCCTTTTCCTTACAAAGGACTACCTGAGGGGGCAGTGCCTGCCTTTTTGGACATTATGAGAATTTACTCAAGAGGGCAATGTGCCCAGGTGTACCTCCTCAGAGGTGTCAGGAGTTGTCACTGCTGCCAGTTCTGCCCAGAGCCCTTCCTGGCCCACTGGTGTCCTGTCAGAGCTGGGAAAGGGTCTGCCAGACTCCCATGCCTGTGCTTTGCTGCCTGCACATGTGTGCTGGAAGGAGTCCTGTAGGGCAGTCACAGTGCAGTGTCAACTCCTATTTTCCCACCATCGGCTGTATCCAGCTTCCCCACACTGCCCTCTCCAGCCAGCAGGTCTATGGATTCCTCAGGTCTTTAACAGCACTTCCTCCTGATATGCCTTGGAGGCTGCTACTCGCTGTTGCAGATAGTAGGCCTAAGACCAGGCCTCCCTGCAGTGTGCATGGGAACAGGCTATCTGAGAGCAATGGCCCCAAGGGAGGTGTCTGGTGGTCAGGGTGAGTGAGGGGTTAGGAGTGTATCTACGTGCACTGTGAGTGATCCTTCAAGCCAAGACCCAAAGTCTCACAGCAACACATCTATGCTCTGGGCACAGCCTTGGCAGTACAAAGGGCACACTCCAGAGCCAACACCTGTGGTGCTAGTCTGGGGTTTCAGCTTTTCCTGAATGGTTACCACCATTCTCCTGACAGTTCCAGGGAAGATGGGCCTGGGACAACCACAGTGTCAGTGCCCAGGGAGCATGATGGCTGAGGCTGCCTGGAGTCCATACCTGGACAGCCTTCCTGAGGTCTCCAACTCTGGCCCTGGGGTGCATGAAAGAGCTGAGAGGGCCTCTCCCTCTGGAAAATGGGCAGGGGAGAAAATGCTTTTCTCTATATTTCTTCGTGATGCTTAGATATTTACTGAATATGTGGAACTTCTCTTTTGGTACTGGGGTTGAACCCAGCCCTTTTTATTTTGAGACAGGGTTTTGCTAAATTGCTGAAGCTGGCTTTGAACTTGGGATCCTTTTGCTTTAGACTCCTGAGTCACTGAGATTACAGGACTGTACCACCACAATCTGGTTGAATGTGTGAAATTTCTATGACGAAAAGAACTATGCTAAAGTAAAATTTGTAAGTATGACGTTACAGATTTTAAAACCTTGAACTTCAAAAAACAAAAATTTGAATTTTTATCAGCACACATGAACTTAATCCCACCCATGCAGCAAGCATGTCAATGCTCATTGCTAGAATGCTGCCTGCTGATGCGACAGATAATGCAGGTCAGCTGTAGTGGCAGCCAGCCTCCACCCAGGCTCAGGGGTTCTGCTCTTAATGATGTCTTTTAGAATATACATGCATGGAATACAAAGATGTATGTGGACAGATGAAAACACAAGAAGATGCTCAACATCATTAGCCACCAGGGAAATAACACTGCACAACATAATAGGTAGTTAGAGTAAAAGAGACTGACCCAATGAACACTGTCTAACATGGGGAAATGCAAGTAGTGTAGCAGGTTCTCAGAAAGTTCCATAAACTCACTGTAAGCCCAAGAAAAAGGAAAACATTTGTCCACACACAAACTTCAACATGAATGTCCACAGCAGAATTGTGCATAAAAGCCAAGTGGAAACAACCCAAGTGTCCATGAGCAGAAACATGAGGTGGGCTATACTAATGACAGACTACTGCTCAGTGAAGAAAGGAATGGAATCTACTGTTGGTGCCAGGTGTTGCCTGAGGATATCATGCTGAGGGAAGCAGCCAGACACAAGGCCACATGCTGCATTTTTGGAAAAGGCAGACCTATTGTCAGGAAGCATGTCAGTAGCTGTCTGAGGCCAGTGTGGGGGTAGGAATGAGGGTGACTGCAAAGGGGACCTCTTTCAGGGGCAGAGATGCTGCAAATGGGTTTGTGAGGATGTTTGTACAAAGCTACAAACTGCCTGAAAATGAACCACACTATTAACAGATGTTAATTAAAATATGTATAGGGGGCTGGGAACGTAGCTCAGTAAGACCCTGGGTTTGATCCCCTCACTGCTCCCCAGCACCTGTGGTGCAGATAAGGGGAACTGTAACATGCTCCAATGCCTTCTTGTGCAAGAGAAGCAGTGCTATTTCCACCAGTGGCCACTGTCTTCTCCAGCACCTCAAGTTCCCTAGTGGCTCTCATCCACTAGGGTAAGTCCTAGACAAGACACTTTCCTGAAGCCTCACTGATCCCCTCTAGCACTCCCTGATTCCTGGTCTGCCAGGAGCTCAGACTTCTGTACCAAAGCTAACCCTGGAGGACAGTTCTCCGCATGCGGCCCACAGCTCCATGTGGCCCATCCCTTCCTGTGCCTACAAGATGGCAGGCAGGTAAATGAGCTGTCTGTGGAACCATGGCCAGGTACTGCACTGCAGTTGCCTCAGATTGAAGGACAGGGATGTGTAATCTCAGATCAAAGGCCTGGGCTCCCAAGAGAATGAAGCTACTGCCACCATATCTACCCCAAGGCCCCAAACCTCAAGAGTTTGGTGAGCATCAGGCCATCTCCAAACCAGCAGCAACGACATGCTGTGTGGAGGCAGCAGATGTAGGCCTGTCATTGTGTCCCCATGCTAGAGCAGCAGCACCACAGGCATGATTCAGCCCTGAGTCCATGGGATGCAAGCCAGAACTCGTATGTGAGCCAGCCTCCAGGTTAGCAGCCTCTACCTCCCAAGCTAGTCTAGAGACTTTTTTGGGGGGTAACTGGGGATTGAATCCAGATTATTCTACCACTGAGCCACTTCCCCAGCCATTATTTTTAAATTTTGAGTCAGGATCTTGCTAAACTGCTGAGGACAGACTTGAACTTGTGATCTTCCTGCCTCAGCCTCCCAAGTTGCTGGGTTTAGAGGTGTGCACCACTGCACCTGGCTTCCAGATAGCGTTCACAAGAGCAGGCCACAGGAAAGAAGTGCCCAACAGTGGGATCAGCAGCACATCCTGGCCCAGGAGGGTCCCAGACCTGCTAGGTCCAAGGTGGAGATAACTCAGAGCCTGGATGCCCTTGGCCTTCAGAAGCAAGGTGCCCAAGACCTGAGAGACAGAGGCCCCATCTCTGAGCATGTGCCTCTGCCAAGGAGGGACACCCTGAAAAAAAGAGGCCTCCTTCTTGAGATCCCTATGGGGCAGCCCTTCCCCACCCTCTTACCTTCGGGCCCGGGGGCGTGGGTGCTGCCTGGCAACCAGGGCACTCCCCCAGATGGGCCCCCCAGGGCCATTCCTACACCAGTCAGCCGCTGCCGGGGGCCCTGGGTATGGTGGCCCCCGGGGGAAGCCGTGGTCTGACTCAGTCTCAGTGGCCAGGGAGGAGGCGGAGCTCCCCATGGCCCCTCTGATAGCGGCCACGCTGAAAGCCAGGCCTGGTCACCTTTGGCCGGTGGCACACGAACAGGAGCATGGAGAGAGGAGAATGCCCACGCCGGAGACAGGGTAGCCGGCTGGTCAGTGACACAACAAAAATAAACACAGAGAGAGAATAAAAGAAAAGAAACAGTGTGATTTACAGATGAAGCCCTAGATCCTAGGAGGGTTTCCCAGCATGCCAAGTAGCTCTGGGTATGGGGACAGGCAGGCTCAGAGACCTGGGCCTCACCCTGAGTATTCAATACCACAGGCTCCTCCCAGAGCCAGGCCCCACAAGGGGTGGAGGTCAGATTCGAAAGGCTAGCACCCTACAGAGCTGAAGTACCCCTCCATCCCTAGGCTCAGGGCATACTAGAGTCCTAGGATGTCACCTTGCCCTGCCCCTGAAACCCAACAATCCCCCAATCACTTGTCTCTGGTTTTCAAAAGTGTTCTATTCCTTAGAAAAGGGATCACATGGCTGGCTTTGTCTTGTGATGGGGCAGAAACCACAAGGATGGCTAACAGAAAGAAAAGGTGGGAGCTGGCAGGGTTGATCCAGGCCTCAGAGAAGGGTACTTGGAGGCCCCAAGAGTTAGAGGAAGGGCAGCAGCTGGCCACACAAACCCACATGGCCCCAGACCTGGAGAAAGACAAGAACCCAAGGTTGACCAAGGCTGAGGGCAGGGCTAGCCCTCTGTCTCTCCTCCAGAGAGATTTACCCCAGGGGTGACCAGAAGGAAGCCTCACTGGGACCTCCGCAGATGGACTGTCTGCACTGTGAGAGAGGCCATCTTATTATGCCCACTGGGTAAGGGAGGTTGAAAATAACCCTAGGAGGACCTTCTGAGGCTGACCTACATGGAATACCTGGTCCAAGCTGGGCATCTGGGCTGCCTTTCTGATTGGGTTGATCAATAACAGCCTTGTGTGGCCACAGTGGTCCCCACCCCTGTACCTGATGTTATATGACATCAGTCCTTTCTCTGGCTTCTGCATAAGTCCTAGGGACACTAAATCGGGTCAGGGTGCAATTGGGGGAAGATGGTTTACCAAAACAAGGTGCTACATTAAGTATCCTTGGTGCACGGGTAGCCTGGGGTGGCCCTGGTAGCTGCTCCTGTGTGGTAGGCAGATGGGCTGCATGGTGCCTTTGAGTCAGAATGATGGCAGGGAGGACTCTCAGCACTGGGCCTAGCCCCTCCCAGACACCCCCAAGCCACAGGGCTTCAATCAGAGCCAGTCGAGTTCCCTGTGCAGCAATAATGTCCGCCTGACTGCCATCTCCCTCAGAGCGTGAGGGGTTGTTTTTCCCAAGGGGCTGGGGAAGTGGATGGGGTGGGCGCTAGCAAGTCCTGTGGCTGCTCAGGCCTCTCCCCACGGCAAACCAGGCACTGAGCACACTGGTGCAGAACAGGGCTGCAGACCATGGCTTGAGGGTCAAATCCAGCCTGCCAGCAGAACAATGATGACATTTTTAACTGGCTGGAAAAATCAAAAAAGAAAACAACACTTTATGGGAGGTGAAAATTATGTGAAATTCAAACTTCAATGTCCCCAAATAGTCATACTGGTAGAGGCCAGCTCATTTATTTAGGTGTCACCTGTGCTTTCAGAGACCATGTGGCCCCCAAATCCAGTGTTTCCTGTCTATTCCCTAAGGAAGGCCTGGGCAGCCCAGGCCAGAGCAAAGCTGCACAGGTTCCGATGCCCTACAAGCCACCCTTGGGTAGCAAGAACTCCAGCTCCACATATCTAGGTTGCTTTTTTGTTAAAAATATTTTTAGTAATTATAGATGGACATAACGCCTTTATTTTAAATATGGTGCTGAGGATCGAACCCAGTGTCTCACACATGCTAGGCAAGTGCTCTACCACTGAGCCACAACCCCAGCCCTAGGATGCTTTCTTGACAGCATAAAATCATCTTACAGGGCATCACTGAGATCCTGAGTTCCCTTTCTCAAGCTCTCTGGACTGTTCAGCTTTTCTTAATGTGGACATGCCACCTCATGGGACTCAAGGCCCATGTGTGCTGGTGGCTTCTGAAGGGGTAGTAAGCAAGCATAGCGGTGAGCCTGTGTGTCAATTTTGAGGATCAAATTCAGCCTGCCAGTTCCCGGGACTGCCACTGCCAGGGGAAGTCCAGCCAGTAACCCAGTGTCAGTCCCACATTAGCAAGCACTCCTGCTTCTCTTGAGGTTATGCATCAGTGGCAGAGCAGCATGGAACAGAAAAGGAACAAAGAGCTCCTCCTTACAGGAGCCTCCATGGGGAATGGCTCTGGCATTTCTGGTGCTTCCCTCTTGCAGTCAAGCCCTGAACTGATGGTGAGTGGAAGCCACATCCAGTGGAAGAAACTACTCACAGCCAGGTCCTGAACTGGTGTGTTCCAACAGCGGGCCTTGCCCATACTCACTTGTGAATGTAGGAATTGTGCACCTCAGAGGCCACCTGCTTGCCTTGAGGGGCACCATATACACTGCCCTTGAGGGTGCCATGTGTGCTGCTAGAAGCACAAACTCCTGCAAGGCCCCACCTATTCCCTACTGGTCTCTTAGCAGGCCTGGGGCAAAGATGGTGTCCACCAGTACAGGGGAGCACTCTGGCCTGAACATCTCTCTCCCCTGAGCTCAGAGGACACCCTCCCAGAACAGGATCCAGTCTGGGGAAATTTCCCAGTGGTCAGGCAAGGAGGCCTGTTGGCAGGGGGATCTTTCCTGGAGGACAGGGACAACATAGTCCCTTCTTGCTGAGTGCTCAGAAGAAAAGGAACAAAAAGGCACATGTCTGTAATCCCAGCAACTTGGGAGGTTGAAGTAGGAGGACCAAAAATTCAAGGCCAGCTTCAGCAACTTATCAAGACCCTGTCTCAAAATAAAAAGGACCAAGGGATATAGCTCAGAGGTAGAGTGCCCCACACCTGTAATCCCAGAAGCTCAGAAGGCTGAGGCAAGAGGATCACAACTTCAAAGCCAGACTCAGCAACGTAGCAATAGTGTCTCAAAATAAAAAATAAAAAGGGCTGGTGATGTGGGCCAGTAGTTAAGTGCTCCTGGGTTTAATCCCCAACTTAAAAAAAAAAAAAAAAAAAAAAAAGAGAGGTAGAGTGCCCCTGGGCTTGATCCCCAGTACCAAAAAAAAAAGCAAAGGAACAGAGAAATGGCAGGGAAAAGTGATGAAGACTCTGTCCTGGCTGACCCCAGTCATTCAGGGGACTGAGGCAGGAGGACTGCAAGTTCAAGGCCAGCTTGGCCAACTTGGCTAAAGTCTGTATCCTAGATAAAATAAAAAAGGCTGGAGCTGTAGCTCAGTGGTAGAGAGCTTGCCTAGCTAGGGTGAGATTCCTGGGTTCAATTCCCAGTATCATAGAACAAAACAAAACCCAACCCCACCCTCTGTTTGCTTCCTGGGACACAGCTTTTAGTCCCAATCCTGTTCATGTCACCTTTGGTGGGTAACCCCATGTGTGGACAGCTGTGCAATTGCTCCAAAAGTCCTCCTTTAGGGAGGTTAAGAACTGTACTCAGGGCCTCCATAGGCATAGGGAGCTCAAGGAGCCCTGCCTGAGCTGTCATTCCTCTGGCTCTGGCCAGCCTTCTAAAAAGGTGGTGGTCACCCCGGTAGTCCCATCCCACTTGCCCAAGGACACTGTGGATGACACTTTTTAGGCAAAGGGACTGGGACACACCAGCAGATATGCATCATTTATGAGGCAGACCTCAAGGAGTGCCCAGACTCCCATCACAGCTCCACGACTAAATAATCTGGGGATAGAGTGGGATATTTTACAAAGTAGTCCTGCCCACTCTGTCTCTCTAGATGTAACAGGAGGGTGAGGGCCTCACACAGAGCAGAACACAGTCCCTCCCCATATGACAGGCCTCAGTTGCCTTTCCCAGGGCCATCCACTCCTGAAGAACCCTGGGCAAAGGTTGATGTTCTGGCAAGTGCCCTCTGTGCTTGGCCCATCATGTGTTCAGGTGCTCAGCAGACACCAGTGGCCTTTGCTGTGTGCCAGACTCTTTTAGGTACTTGGTCATGGCAACCACTGATGCTCAGAGGCCCCTGCAGGGTGGCTCACTTTCTCATTGCTGTGTGACTTAAACACTTTTCAAAAGTCAGAGTACGAAGATATGCAAGCCTCCAGGCCTCAGTGGGAAAGGAAGGGTGTGGTGAGGAAGAGATGTTCAGTCTCAAGGCCTGGTAGACTCCCTGCATCAGCACAGCCTGGGTCCTGCATCAGCCTAACCCTGGGACAGCCCCAGCCAGTTCCTTCAGGGCTTTCTTTTGGGAACCACTGCCCTGGTTTTAAATGGGGCAGCAGCCTATATCTGGTCTCAGGGAAGCATGGAAGTGAGGTCACCAGTGCCCTGAAAGGACAAGGTACTAATTACCCTGGTGCTACTTGCCCTTTGCCCCAGGCCCAGGGCCCACACTGCAGTAGCCAGAGTAGAGTGATATCACCTTCTGCCTGGAACTGCTCCCCAAAGCTGGAATACCTCACTCCCAGAACAACCTAGGGATGGTATACCCAGCAAAGGCCAGGAAGGTGCCCACCCTATCCTATGCTCCTGATGTGTGTGCAGGCAAAGGGTCCCCAGTGCCTGTCCTGTCCTGCTAATCTGTGATACACGCTGCCAGGGGAGAGCAGAGAGAAGCACAAGTTGAGCAGGACAGGACCCTGTTTCCTAAATCTTACAAAAGGCCATCTCGCCACTGTTTTAACTGCAGCAGCTCCAGTAACACCCCTACTTGGAACAGGATGTGTGGGACAGCAGGAAGAGTGGCAGTCCCAGCCCAGCCTGACACCTATTACCATGCACTATACCCCAGAATTGCACTCACCTAACCAGGAGGACCCCAAGTCAGATGTGACACCAAAAGTGAGCTGCTGCCTGGGATGATGTTCTGAGCTGTTTCCCACAGCTCAGGGACAACTGGAACCAATGCCAACTACAGAAACTGTGAGAGGGAACAAACCCTTTGCCTTGTAAGGCAGAAGGACCAAGGACTGGGAGTGAACCTTCCCTCTCATCCCTATAAGAAACCAGGCCAGGACCCACCCCAGGGGAGGACTCAACTGTGACCTCTGCCCCCCACCAAAACTGGCAGGTTGGCATTCCCTGGGGACAAGTGGAGAGGTCACTCCCCAGGGATGTCAGCAGCTCCCTGGCCAGGCCCCTCAGGGCTGGAGGACAAGGGGAAGCTGTGTCAGGGTTTGGGGCATGCACATGCTCCACACCAGTTCTGCTCCGGCATCTCTATTGGGTACACAGAGGGAGTTCCATCTGGGGCCAAGGGCAGGGCACAGGGAGACACCACCAGATAACAGGAGGACATCCAGGAGAGCAAGGTCCCACCAGGTCTGCCCTTATGGTGTCTTGGAATGACAAGACCATGGCCCCAGTCTTGGAAGCATGGTTTTCCTAAGGGAGGTTCCCAAAAGGTGGAGAGAACCAGAATCTGTCAGGGCATAGCAGTAGGTCTGGAGGGGTTCTGGAGCCAGGAAACCAATGAAGGGTCCAAGGTACCAGCCATAGAAAGGGGTCCTCACAGCACCCCAACCCAGCTGTTCCACAGTTTTATAGCCCAAACAATTCCATAAACAAACCACAGAACTTGGGAGCTAAATCCAAAGACACCAAGTTCCTGCTGGATTCTGCCCTGAGGTCAGTACACTCCTCCAGAAGTGTCTGGACTCTGGCCTGGGAGTGCCATACAGTCTTTGAGTTTATTTGCACAGGCCAGACTCCTGGAAATGGTCCTGACTGCCCATGTGGCCCAGGCCCTACCCCCCATTAGGGCCCAGAACCACTTGGAGGGTTTCACTGTCCTACCACAGCACACATGGATGAGGGCCCTTTCCTGTTAGGAACTCCACCTGTCCCACAACTGAAGTAGACCAGGGACCTGGGGCAGCATGGTGTAGCTGGCTTTTCATTGCCCTGGTTTGAGGACCCTGACCTGTCTAATCTAGTTCTAAAGGCCTGTGGTCAATTCTAGACCAGCCAGAATGGCAGAGGAGACTGTTCAAGATCCTGTCTTGACTTCCCTCAGCCTGGCACTGCTACAAGGAAAGACCTTGGGCAAGAATCCAGGGGCAGAGCAGCACCATAGACCAGCACCAGTTGGGGCGGGAACTTGGGCTGCCAGGAAAAGGTGCACAGGTGGCAGCAGGGCTCTGGGCAACAACAATCCCAGTTCTGTTCTTCTCAACACCTGATCACCATGGAGGGACCACTGTCATGGCACTCACTACCCTATCCTTCCTTGGGCACTCTGCAGTCTCCTGCACCAGCTCAGATCTTGCCCTGTCATGTGAACAAGGGACAGTGGATACCACCATTCACTAGAGCAGGCAGGATGCTGTCCACCTCAGAGAATGAACCACGGAGGTTCTGAGAGTGAAATTCACCTACTGAAATAAAAGTAGGAGCACTTTCTGCCAACAAACTTGGGAAGAAGCATGCCCTGTCCCCTCATCCTCCCAAGCTGAAGCTTTCCCATCATGTGCTACAGGGCAGCTCTCTTTTAAGTTCCAGATTTCTCCAAGTATGTCCAATTTTAAAAGTTCAGCCACTAGCTCAGGAAGAAAATCAGGACTTAACACTGCATGGTCCATGAGACACAATATAGCACTGGGGCTCTAGCTGTGGGCCTCTTCAGATTAGCTCTGGGACTCCCCACTTGCCCAGGAGACCCTGGGGGCTGGACTGAGAACGTTGGCCTTCTTCAGTATGAGAAGAAGAGATGGGTTTCCTGAGCAGCTCAGGACAGGAATCTGGAGGGTCATCTACATACTCATACTGCTGCATCCTAGGCAGGGACAGGGGGTGATACTGCATGTCTTTATGTGTCTTAAGAGACGCCTTATTTATGCATTGTGAAAAACATTATGCTCTTCAAAACGGTATTGTCAGGGAAACAAGCACATACTTAGGATTTTAGTTCACAAGTTCAATATTGTTTAATGTGGAATACTATTTTTAACAGAAAAAAATATACAAGACAAGCACTTGGTTTATGTGTATATGGTGCTGGGGATTGAACAATGGACTTAAAACATGTGAGCCAGCCCTTTTTGAGACAGATTCTTAGGTTGCTGAGGCTGGTCTCAACTGCCTCAGCCTCTGGAGCAGCTGGGATTAAATGCATGTGCCACCATACCTGGCTGCACTCTTGTTTTTTGGCACTTTCATATTTCTTTCTTGTCAATGGTAGAAGGAAAACCCTGGCCTGGGTGGTCTAGTGACCCTACTGGTAGCAGAACAGAAATTCCAGGGGCACCCAAGTCCTCCACTGGCCCCAAAGAGAAGCAGACAGGGAACTGTGGGAATACAGAATCCTGTTCCACAGCAGAACTCTTGGCACTTTCTTGCCCAGTAAGTTCTGGCTTCTCCATAACCACCTCTCCAGAAAGGCAGAGATTCCAAATAGCTCCAGAATTTGCTGTCATTCCCATTAAAAGGGGATGGGGGTAGGATTGGACAAGGAGCAGAAGGTCCAAGAGATTCAACCTGCCTGAGTCATTAATTCCAAAGGGTAACTTTTTCAAGAAAAGTGGAAGAGGTTCCCTCTGCAGTGAAGCACATTGCTTTCCCAGAGTAGCCAGAAGCTGCAAGGCCTGTCCACAATGAGCGTAGCTATGATGACATTTTCAAACAGCAGTTATCAACCTGTTTTCCCCCTAATATCCTGAAGCTTTGTCCAGGCATGTCCTCCAGTCTGACCACCATGGAGTTGGAGGTAGGGGCAGTAAAACCATGACAGTGTGTCTGTTTGCCTGGACGGGAGCAGAGAGCCCAAGGCACATGTCCCATGTGGTCTTACAACACACAGACTTGAGCAAGCCTGCCTCAATGCCTGGTGAGCCTTGTAGGAGGGATAGCCACATCATTGGACAACCATGCAGCAAAATGAAAAGGGACAGGAGGACTGCCCAGGGCTATATGGCCCTTCTGGTCTTTGTATCAGGCTAGGGTGCCTCTCTGTCCTCCCACAGCTCTCATTCCCTATACTACATGGGCCTGGCAGCAGGCCCTGTCCTGATGGCACCATGCAGAGAGGCCCATGGAGTGACAAGACTGTGAATAAATAGGTCTCCAAGCCCAGCCTAGTCTACCCACAGCCTTCTCTGGCACCTTCCAGTGACACGAAAGAGTCACAAGCCCGTAAGTAGATTCCTTAGACTCAGAAACAAGCTGTGGTCATATGATGCCATCCCTTCCCCATTTCCAAAGAGGCTACAATGTTACAGGAACAACCCCTACCCCCACCCTAGGCTTCAGAACCCAACTGACCCAGAGCTGCTGTGGGAACAGCTGACTGAGGATGCTTACTGGCCACCTGTTCAGTGCAGGGCTGGACAGAGATGGGCATGGGGCCTACTGAGAGACAGAAATAGGACCCACCCTCTTTAGTTTGCACCCAGAAGGGGAGATGTGTGAAACAGGAATGCTGCCAGCAGAACCCTGTACAGAGAGCCAGTACAACACTGGAGCCTGACAAAGACCTTCTGCGCTCTCTTGGCAGGACAGGGCATGGGTTAAAAATGGCTCTGCAGATCCAGACACAGTGGTAGAGCCTGTGTCCTTGCTGAGAAGTTAGAGATGAGTTAGGCTTTAGGTGAGAGGGAGTGAGGAAGTAGGGTGGGGAAAGAGAACACCACATGGCACCTCAGGATGCACCCACGGTACCAAGTGCTCTAGTGGGTGTGGAAAGGGTACTAGAAGGTCCTACAGCGCTACAGCAAACCAGCAAAAGAACCAGAGAGCCCCCTTCCAAGGACCCAGGGCAGAGTTCAGAGCCTGCATGTGTGATGAAGAGACAGATCAATCCCACAGCTGTGCCTCACAGTTCAGGATGGCCCACAAGGTCAGAATGAGAGTGAAGTGGCTAGTCACCAGCATGCCTGCATTTCTGTAGGTGTGTTTCTCAAAGAGCCCAAATTGTTTCCACTTAATATCATTTGCCTTCTCAGTATCTGTCCCTACCTGGTGCAGTGAGCAGAGACATCACACTGAGAGCTTAAGGGCTGTACCTGGGGCTGCTCTGTCTGAATGGCCATGAGGATGAACGCCTTCCTTCAGGCTCTTCACAAACCAGCTCATGAACTGCATGTAGTTTCTGGAGGTTTTCAGGCCAGCAGAACCCTGGCTGGCCTGAAACAAGTAGGTTGAAAAGTAGCCTTTGTGAGTCAGAGACCTGGAGCTTCAGTTCTCTCCACCCTTCTCCTGGCAGCAAGTGCTATCCCTCAGCCTGTTTCCCACCTGTTAAGATGGGAGTTACCAGAGTGCTGTCCCACTGTCTGGGAAGAAGCCAGGGGGAGGTTGGTGTAGGCAGGGTCTGACACGCAGGAGCTTCCACCATCATCAACACCAGGCAAAGCCTGTCTTCCCTTTGTGGAGCGGCAGAGGGGCCTCAGGTTCCCCGGTAGAAAGGCTGAAGCTTTCACACAGGTGTAGGGTCAGGGTTCAGAACCAGGCTTCCTTTAAGACCCACCTCCCTTGCTAAGCTACGGAGTCCTGGCTGCCCCTGTCCGCGCCGGGCCAGGGAAACACATGCTCTTGCCACTCTTTGCATTTAGAAAGTCACTAAAGCTGGACAGGCAGGATTACCCCTGACCGTCAGCACGCTCCACACCGGTGACTCACTTCCGCAGCCTTCAGCCCAGGGCAGAGGGGAGCTCCCGGGAGGAGTGCAGGCCCGCAAGCAACCAGGGATCACCCAGGCCTGGTCTCGGGTTCCTGGCCTCCCGGCTGCTTCCGGGTCCTGTTACCTGCGGTCGGCCAGGGTCACCCGGCCGCACGCCGGGCCTCCCTGTCAGGCCCAGAGCAGGTTCCGGGGACTCTCTAAACGCCCCGCCATCGCCAAAGGCCCGCGGGGAACAGGGAGGCGGCGGCGCGGGTGGCCGCGGGCGCTCCAGCGGCCGCCCCGGAGTGCCAATGGCCGGGACCCCGCGCGGCGTCCTCGTGCCTGGCCGGGAGAAGAGGGCACTCAAGGACGGGCCGGCGCCGAGGCCGCCACCGCGGGCCCCACGAGCGACCCGCGCCACCAGGCCCCGCGCGACCGGCCGCCCGTGGACTCACCTCCGCGCGCCGGCGGCGCCTCCTCCGCGGCCGCGGCCGGGCGGCGCGGGGCCCCCCGGCTCCCCCGAGAGGCACGCGCGCCGTCGCCGCCGGCTGCGCCGCCCCGCCGGCCTCGCGCGCCTCAGCCGCGGAGCGCCAGCCCTCCCGCCAGCCGCCCTGCACCGCCTCCGAGCGTGGCGCCCACGGCGACGTGCGTCAGGGCGCACGCGACGCCACGAGCGCGCCGGGCCGGGCTCCCAGAGGGCCGCGCGGCGCGCGAGGCAGGCCGGGAGCTCCGCCCGCGCGCCCTGCAGACGTGTTTCGGCCTTGAGGACCCGGGGTCTGGGGTCCTTTGTGAGTCAGAGACCTGCTCCGCCCTAGTGGGGGTCGGCTGCTGCGGAGCTTGGGTCGGGGGTCCGCTGCTGCGGAGCGGGGGTTGGGGGTCGGGCTCGGGCGAGTTCCAGGCGGCTTGGCCCTTCTGCAGGGAGCAGAAGCTGCAGCCAGCAAGTGTAGCTGAAGGTATCTGAGCCTGCCAGGGACCTTGCAGAAGAGGGAGACCAGAAGGATGGCCTACCTGGACCTCGGGAGAGCTGCTGCTTGTGGTCCATTTTTGTAGCAGGATGACGGTGTTTTACCAGTGAGAGAGTGAAGTTTGCTCCATAAAGTCTGAACCCATCACAGTAGGACCTGTAGGTACAAGATCATGCTCCTGGGAGGATATTCCTACTTCAGGAGAGCCAGTGAGCCAAAGTTGCGCCATCAGACTCTCCAGATACTTCTCTGGGATACCTGTCCTGATGGGGAGGATGGTGCTTTTGGCAGTCAGGATAGACTCTAGCCTCCTGAGTGCTCTGAGGTGACAGATTTATCTGTTCTGTGATGCTTGTGATAAGGAGGTCACCTCCGTCTATTTGGAATCAATCAGCCCCAGGCTGAGGGATAGGCAGTCCACACCAGGGCACCCTGAGGTAGGAGATACACCCACTCCAGGCCAACAGGCTGCCTGGTCAGGGAACTAAGGGGCACTAATGGGTACTCTCATGTGACTTGGGCAGGCTCTTGGCTTCTATGTGAGAAGATGGAGTTGTGGGTGGGCTCTCAGTGGCTGTGGGCCCTTTCCCTCCCCAGCCTGTTGGGTACCACCTGGGTAGCTCCCTGGCCAGAGGCTAGCGGCCCAGCCTGCAGAGTAGTATGTGTCTTGTGGCCTCCTAGCCAGAGAAGCAGATGAAGGAATGCCTGATGGTTGAGGTTCCTGTTAGCTCACTGTATGGTTTCCTGAGCCAGACTGTGGAGGTGAGGGGAGGACAGGCACAAGGACTGTCCTCACATGGGAGAAAGCGCATGAGGAGCAGTCTTGATACTGTTAAGATGTTGGCTGTGCAAGGAGGGACAGAACAGGGCGCATCTCTGGTCATCTGCATTCATCCTGAGTGTTCTGAGGCACTGCCTCATCAAGTTGACTCTGCTCTGTGCTAGTGAAGTCCTGGCCTGAGGACAACTTAGAAAAGGGGACAGACCTGAGCTGCTGCCACAAGACAGCTGGAGGAGGACTGGAGGCGGCTATCTGCGGAAGCAGCCAGTATCTTCCCCAGATTAGCATGGGGCCCAATATGTGCAGGCTTCTGGGGTCAGCAGTAGTGAGACCCAGATGCCATCAGAATCGAAGTTCTTGGGGTGGGCACTCTGTGAGCCTGATGTGAGGGCATGAGAGATTCTGGTCCCAAGCTCAGATTTGTCCTATCATGACTACCCACTTTGCAGGCCACACAACTGTGTCAATAAAACCTCACATAAAGAGAACAGAGTTCTTGGCCCTGGCCAATCCCTGCCCTGTGGGCCTTCGGCAAGTGGAAGGACCTAACCAGTCACTCAAACCTGCTGAGCCCGAGCCTGAGCCTTGCCTCTGCTTTTCCAAAGAGAATGGACCAAGACTTGAAAGACTCAAGCAGAGGCTCTGTGCAGCATTAAGAGCTGACCAGAGATATCCTGACCAGCCCACTGCACAGTTGCGGGGAAGGAGTGGCCCCAATCCTTGCAGGACATGCTGGGGTCTCCTAATGGACTGAAGGCCTTCTCTCCTCCAGGAACATGCTTCAGGTGAGCTCCCAGTGGACCTGGGCCTGCTCCTGCCCACCTGCAGCCCCTTCTCAGCAGGGGTCTCTGGGAACCTCATTTAACAATGGCTCTTATACCCACCTTCCCCACCATGTTCCAAGCGAGTGTTTGTCTTCTTTGAGCTGGACACTCCAGAGGGCCAGCACAGCAATCCCAGTGACTCTTAGTGGGGCCAACTGGACTGTGGACATGGAACTAAGAAGCTGCCAGCCCATGGTGGAGAGGCTCCTGCTCCTAGCTTTCAGGTAGATTGGGGCCCTGCTTTATCAGGCAGATCCCATGGGCAGCCCAGATAGATGGGAGAGCAGACCATACCCCTGCAGGCAGAAACTCAGCCTCTGATGTGTCCATGATCCCAAATTTCTATTTCAGTTCTACCCAAGTGTCCAGGAGTCCTGGGCCAGAGGCTCTGGTACTTGGAGCCCCCCTGTTCACTCTCCCCACTGAGGACAAAGCCCCATTGCAGGCCAGGTTATATCCCTTTAAGTTACCAGCTCTGGGAAGAGTGGAAGCTGAGCAGTCAGCAGAACCTAGTGGGGCATGTAGATTAGTGGTTGAGGGCTTGCCTTGCATGTATTAGGCCTGAGTTTGACCCAAAAGAAGAAAAAAAAAAAAGATAAATTCTTATAATGCTTAAGATAACTCAAGAATTTTAACATTCTTGGGGTAGTAATTACAAATCAGTCCTCAGCCTCTCTGAGCCTCAGTTTCTCCATCTGTGTCTGACCAGTGGGCAAGTAGGCAGGTCAGTGTGAGGGTGGTAGAGATTTGCAGGTGTGCCATTTGCTGCTCCAGGGACACCTAGGTTGGGTAGGTGTTTCAAGGGGATATCAGACATGACTGCCTTCCAATCAGACATAGCACTTATTCTCAGAACTCTTGGTGTCTATCCTGGGGCCACAACCTTCAATGTTCTTTGCCTTGGGGTGTTCCTCTCACCACCTGGCATGGCCCTACCCTTTGTTGATCCCCAACAGGCTGCATCTCGGGGATAGGGACACTATGAGACTTGCAATTCAGTGGGGTGTGATACCAGTCTGTGCCTAGGCGGCTTGTTCCTGGAGAGGAACTAAGAAGTTGCAGGAACCATGGGGAGAGCAAGGAATAGGTCCCTTCCCTCCTTCCCAGTCTTCAGGTAAGGACTGAAGCAGATTGACCATAGTTGTGAAGATGGTCACGTGTGCATAAAGCATCTGCAGAAACCCACACTTAGATGGTTCCCTGTTTATAAGCATATGAATAATAAAAATGTCCAAACCCGGGGCTGGGGATGTGGCTCAAGCGGTATCACGCTTGCCTGGCATGCGCGGGGCGCTGGGTTCTATCCTCAGCACCACATAAAAATTAAATAAAGATGTTGTGTCCACCGAAAACTGAAAAATAAATATTGAAAAAATTCTCTCTTTAAAAAAAAAAAAAGTTCAAATCCTCTCTGTGGAGCCCTCCAAATTCCTTCTTTGGAATAATAAGGAATATGCTGGGGCCTTCACCGGCCTAGGGGTTGAAGAGGCCTAGTGTGGCCTCAGGGGAGGCTTGGGATGCACTCAGGCCACATCTTACCTGGAGAAAATAGCCTGGGGCCTGTCCTACCACGCCCGCCCCTGAGGCAGGGCACTTTTCTAGGGTGAGTTAAAGATCCAGAACCTACCCACAGTGGCTGAGTCCTGGGGGTGGCCCAGCCTGGAGGCCATGCTGTCCTGGAGCATTAGGTAAGGGGAAAGGCTTGGCCAAGCTGCAGAGTCAAGATTTTGTGAGGTCTGACCAATGTCCCCAGACACCTGGGGGAAGTCAGGGCCTGGCCCAGGGACACCCCAGCCCACCACCTGCTGGAGGACAGAGTTTGTGTGTATGGTAACAGCTTTAATCTGTGGTGGCTTGACAAATCGGGCAAGACCCTCCTGGTCTCCCACCCTCCTGCTTCCTGGCAGGAAGAGCCATTTCTCTGGGGAACAGAAGCAGCGTGCAGGTTGGTTGGTGTATCTCCTGGAAGCGTGTCTGCAGCCCCAGCACTGCTGGGGGCCAGCAGGACAGGCCATAGTCATGTCAGGGCTAGGACCTGGGCACAGAGAGGCAGGCTCCAGTACTTATATATTATACATACATATATATATATATATATATATATTTTATGTGTATACACAGATAGTTTTCTCTCTGTAAAGTATTAAAAAATTGATCAACCTTCAATCTATAAAAAATACCTACTCTACATGATAGAAAAATCTCTCCTCCAAGTTTACATTGATTTACACCCGAGGCTTTCCCCAAAACTGTACAACACGGGGCCACACAAGCTCTAGTGTGGAGGGCCACGTGGAGGCGCAGGGCTGCAGGTGCACAAGGCACGCACTCACTCCCACAGGCTATGGGCCAGCAGCTTGCAAGGAGCCACTGCTCAAGTCCTGGGAAAGCCTGCTTCCCTGCCCTCCTGCACCCTCAGGAAGAACAGCGATTTTAAGTCAGAGCCATGAGGTTTCAGATCCTGGACCGGGGCCCAAAAAATCTGACTTCACCCAAGGCGATGGCAGTCCGCCTAGGGAGGACTGCTCCAGGAGGCCAAGGCAGGCCACACCCAGAGAAGTGGCCCCTGCACCTGGGAGTCAGGACAGCACTGTCCACCATCCACGCAATGAGTTCCAGAGTCGGGATCCCAAGTCCTGACTTCAGAGCAAAGAGTCTCAGTGGGCTCCTGCTCCAGTCCTGGCATAAGAGTCAAGAGTCCCTGAGGGCTACTGCAGCAAGGGTCAGGCCATGGGATGGCTGCACAGCTTGGAGGCCCTTGGGCCTAAAGCTGGATCGAGGTGGCATTTGGCTGGGTGATGTCCTGAGCAGTCGGGGAGGAGAGCACTAGGGGCCTGTGGCTCATAGCCAGACCCTGCACGTGTCAGCCTCACCCACCTGTCCTTCCCACACCACCATGTCCCCTACAGGGGGTCCATCTGGAGCAACCAGGATTGGATGTGTCAGGGCGCTTGTGTGGCTGTCATAGCCCTGGTGGGAAGAGGGGTCTGTCATGAGGGAGTCAGAGGGACTTGTCCCAGCCTGAGACTGCCATGACACTGCACAGAGACTGAGAGGCCCTGCCCCCTCCCTGTCCACTGTGGACTACAGGCTGGGGGCTCTTCTTCTCCCTCCTTGGTACTGCTGTGCACCCTCTGCAGCCCCACTGCCTGGGCGTAGCTCCTCAAGGTGCGAGGGGCTCTCTGGGTGCTGGTGGAGGACTGAGCAGCCAGGCTGGTCTTGGAGGGACTACTTGACCTCCAAGATGGACGGGTTGGTCTCCATGATGGCCACGATGATCCTGTCGATGTAGTCCTGCAGGCGGAGGTTGATCTCCTCTTGCCTCTGGACAGCCTCCATGAGCTGTGGGGAGAGCACAAGTCAGCATGGGACGTGCAGACCATGGGCACGGGTAGGCAGGGCCCTTACCTCGTCACGGGACACCGAGCTGATCTCCGCCGCAAGGGACTCAGAGAAGGCTGTGGAAAAGAGGCTCCGGGCGCCCTGGATGCTGAGGGTGATGATCTGCCCGTTGAGCTCCTCATTCTGCTCCTTCAGGTTGCGGTTATCCTGGGGACACAGCAGCGTCACATGGGGCCCTGGCCCCTGCAGGGTGCTGGGCTAAGACAGCAGCCTTCCAAAAGCTTCCAGGCAGGGTGGACGGGAGTCCAAGCCATACCTGCTTGAGCCTGCGGACCTCCTGTTCCAGCTCGCTCTCCCTGGTGCGGCTGTTGTACTCCTGCAGGCCCAGGCTGCTACTGCGGCCCCGTCTCTGCTCAGCCTCCAGCCTAAGGAGCTGCAGGTGCTCCAGCTGCTTGCGCAGGTCCTCTATCAGCTGTAAGGCAATCGTGGGCACCGGTTAGCAGCTGAAAGCCATGCATGGGAAGCACACCACATGTGACAGGGAAGGTGGGGAAAGGGACAGTGGCTCTGTTCACCTCCTGGGTTGCCTCCTTGTCTCTCTGGAACTGGTGCCGCTCATGGCTCAGCCTGTCCCCCATCTTCCTCTTGCTCTCCTGCTCTTCACTGAGCCGCAGCGTCAACCCTTCGATCTCATCCAGCAACTTCTGCTTCTCCTATGAAAACAGGCATCATTCATGTGCATGAAGAGCCCACCCCAGACCCGCTCCCAATCCACCCCAGCATAGTGGCCCTAGGATCAATTTCTGCAGAGCTGTGCCTAAGCCTTCAAGGCTGCCCTACCTTAGGGCCAAGGCACACACAGGCCACAATGGCAACTTCTCAAGAGGCAGGGTGAGAAGGACCTTTGTATAGATGGGACCTAAATCATGGCTGTGGGAAGCTCTATCCTGGCACCTCTGGTTCATGCAACCCAGAGCCCAGGTGATCCTGGAACATCCTCTGGTTTCAGAGCTTTCCAGAGGGCACTCAAGGAGGAAAGACAGGAGGGGAGGGGAGGTGGGGAGCTGTGACACAGACACAGTCTCACCTCTCTGCCTGCATATCTAAGGAGAAGGGCATCCCTTCACTCAGATCCTTGGGAATCTGTGGGCCCCAGGGATCTGAGTCCATGGGAGAGCTGGAGGCCAGGTAAGGTCCAGTGTCTTCCAGAAAAGGGCAGCTCCTCACACAGAACAGGCCAGGTGCTGTCACTCCACAATTGGCAGCAGCTCCCCACTCTAGAGGCCCTGACAGTACATCCTGGCTCCCCTGCTGGTGTCAAGAGCAGAGGGCAGAGGGGCAGCTGGAGTAGGGTGGGGCCTGGACCCCCAGCTGCAGTCGGACTGGGGGCTCACCTCTTCCAGACGCTCAATGTTGGCCTTCAGGCAGGGCGTGCAGGACCGCAGCTCACCATTCTCCTCGTCCAGCTGCTGCAGCCTGGAGCATAACAACACCTTGGACCACTCTCCTGAAAATATACCTCTAAGGGCAGGGAGGGCCCAGTATCTGGAGGAATCCTCCTAGGGGCAGTGGCCAGTCTTGACCCCACACGAACACTCAAGGCTGAAGCTTCTCTGTAGCCCACAAATGCTTCTAAATACTGGGTTTGGAACACTTTAGGTTCACAGAGAAGTTTCAAGCAAAATTAGTGTCTGAAGGGCCTGCTTGCTCCCTTTCCTTCCTGCTGCCACAGCTCATCCTGGGGTACCTTCATCATGGCCCACACTCAGCTGGGCCATTCTTTCTTTCCCCTTTTTTTGGGGGGGTACCAAGAGTTGAACCCTGGGTCCTTAACCACTAAAAGCCATGTTCCCAACCCTTTTTTATATTTTATTTAAAGACAGGATCTTGCTGGCGTTGTTTGAGACCTTGCTAAGTTGCTGAGGCTGGCTTTGAACTCAGGATCCTCCTAACTCAGCCTCCTGAGCTGCTGGGATTACAGGCATGTGCCACCATGCCCGGCTGAGCCATACTTTCAACAAAACCACACATGCTATGGATTTCCCACCAAAGCCCAGAATCCCATCCAAGGACCCCCATGGCATCAGTCCTCATGTCTTATTAGTCCCCTGGTCTGAGTCTCCCTGACTGCCCTGCTTTCTCATGACCCTGACAGTGTGTAGCAGTCCTGGCACATCCCTCACGTTGGGTCTCAAGTTGGTTCTGTCTGATGTTTTCTGGGGCAATGGGTTTGGGAAGACAAGACCCTACCACCATGTAGAGCCCGTCTTGTCACACCATTCCTGACACTCACACGGGTCACTTGGTTTAGGTACAGCTGCTGGGTGTCCCCTCTGCTAGGCTGCTGCTTCCTGCCCACTCTGTTTTAGAGAACCAGTCCCTGAGTGGAGGCCCAGAGTAGGAGGGACCCACACCACCTCCAGGAAGGAGTGTCTAGGGAAACTCTCTAGAATCCTCTGAAAGGAGGGCTGTGTCTTCTCAGATGTTTTTATCAACTGATTGTCTATGCACCATGCTGCACGTCCAGTCTGCACCTGGGGTTGTGCTCCTGCAGGACTGCCGGCTGTGCTGCTCAGGTGGCTCAGCTCTGGCCACTGGGAGATCTTTTAGTTGGCCTAGTGTGCCTCTGACATCACCCATCAGTGGGTACATGCATGTGCCAGGTCAGTTACCTGCTGGCTCCCCTCTGCAGTATTTGTAAATGTACCAGTAATGACACTGTAAATTCCAAGTGTACACAGAAACAATCCTGTCCATTTCCTTTAACAAAAGATAGGTTTGTCTCTGTTGCCCAGGCTAGCCTGGAGCTTGAGATCTCCCTGCCTTGACTTCCCCAAATTCCTGGGATTCTGGCTGGGGTGTTGTTACAGGGATCTGTGAGTGAGACAGGTCTATAGAAGCTAACATGCTGCAGTCTCTGGATGCATGCTGGAGGCTTTAGAAGAGTTCTAAGGTTCTCCTCTCAGGCTCCCTGTACTCTACAACTAAACTTTTCTGGATCCCTTCCCCTTTCAGGTTGGTGGGTTTCTCTGCTCTGGATGCCTCACCTACCTGGCCTGTAGGTTCTCAATTTCAATGCTCTTCTCTCGCTCCATCCTGCACAGGAGCTCCTTCTGCTTCCGGGCCTCTTCCAGGACCATCTCCTGGGCTCTGAGCTCCTGTTCCTTCAACTGCTCCTCCAGGGCGTTGGCTCTGAATGCAAAGGGGAAGAGACAGTATTTTTCAGACCTCCCAGGTGCCTGTTCCCAGGGCACTGTCCTGACCCTGGCATCTGCTTGCCCTGTAGATCTGATACATGAGGCCTGGGGGAGGGGCCAGAAAGCACCAGAGTCCAAGGGCCACAGCATTCTGCAGCAAATGGACATAATGGCTGAGCACAGACTCCAACAGGGTGAGCATGAGTTCTCACTGCAGCATGGTCAGCTCATGGTGAGGTCCACACCACATTCGGCCAGGTCCAGGACTTGGTGCTGGGCACATCTGGTGCAGAGGCCACAGAGGGGACACAGCTAGAAGGAGTCGCCTCTGGGCTAATCTGGAGACCAGTCCTATGCAGGTCTTGAGACCTGGCCCCTTCCATGACCACCTGCAGGACAGGTTGGACATCTTAGGGAAGCACCAGAGGCCCTGCCCATGCACAGTAAGGCCCATAGCCCCAGTCCTGTCACATGCTTCTCTGATCCTCTTTGGTGGGTGAGAGTGAAGATAGCAAAGGAAGCTTTGGAATATACAGAGAACCAGGTCCCACGGTGGCCAGTCTCAGGCCAAATGCTCTAAGAAAAACCAGAAGTCTGCTGTAGGAGGAGTGGATAAACCTAACTCTTAGAAATTAAAAACAGGGCTGAGGGACCTGGGTTCAATCCCCAGCCCCATTCAGAAAAGGAATAAAAAGAAAATCAAAACAGGAAAAAAAAGTTTTATACTCAATAGAAGAGTTGAGGAAGAAAACCTGAAGATAATACAAAGGAAAAAATGCACAGAAAAACAAAGTCTGAAATTAGGAAAATGAAGAGGACTACTATCATTGAGAGAAAGAAATGAGAAAGAGATGACATGGAGAGAATTCTTGAAGTCCCCAGAAGCTGACAGACACACTGTCCAGAGGCAAAGGCTGAAAACCAGCACAGGTCAGCCAGCTCTGGAGCCAACTGAGCTACAGGAAAACTTGGCTTCCCAGCAGCCTGAGTAGGCAGCTCCCAGGAATCATCATCCTCAGAAGCAAGTAGCACAAGTGGGACCAGAAGCCAAGGAGTAAACAGTGAGCACTGGAGACACAGCAGGATGTGAAACACCAAGGGCATCCTGCACAGGTGCAGGGAGGGCGGGGGAAAGGGGCACAGAGTAGAAAAAGCTGCACGGGCACAATGCTCCCAGGTCTGAGTACTCAGAGACCCCAGAAGGCAGGGGCCTTATACCAGAAAGGGGGCCTCACTATTACCAGGGTGGATGTGAGAGGGTACCCTGGTTCAGGGGGTGGGCAAGTAGAAAGGGTCTCCAGGGAAGGCTCAGGATGTACCCTCTGAGAGGCCACACACCTGAGGCCCCCATTCCCTTCTGCAGCAGTGCTGGCTGGCACTCCACAGGAGAGTGTAGCCTGTTTGGCAGCGTGTACCTGTGCTGTGATAGAAGGCAAGTCCTGACTCAGTGCTCCTGAACAGCAGCAGTCTTTTTTTAAAAAAATATATATATATATATTTAGTTGTAGATGGACACAATACCTTTATTTTGTTTATTTTTATGTAGTGATGGGGATTGAACCCAGTGCCTCACGCATGCTAGGCAAGCACTCTACAACTGAGCCTACAACCCAACCCACAGCAGCAGTTTTGAGTTTCTACCTTGCGTGAGTTGTGCTTAGGGAGGGCCTGGGTTACAACATGAGTCCACTGTTCCCTCATGATCACTTGGCTCAAGTGGTTTATGAGGAAACAGGCTCAGAGGGATAGAGTCCTAGCCTGGGGCTCAAGTATAGCTGTGGTTGGCAGCCTGGTAATGGGGTGGCTCAAAGATCCTCTCCCATGGGCCCACAAGAGCCTCTCGGGACACCCTCTTGGGCTCCTGCCCCATCCTGACTGGCTGTACGTCACATCCATTTGCTTTCCTGCTACTGAGCAACAGCTACAGCCACAGTCTTCTAGAGGGAAACTATGTCCAGCAAGATGCCCCTGGCCTGCTCTTCCAATGCAGGCCCTGCCCTTACCCAGGGCCCCTGACCTCCTCTAGCACACACTGTGTCCAAGTCCCAGAGACCACCTGCTATCTTTGAGGCCCTGGCAAATTTGAGCTCTCAGCTTCAAGGTTCTTATCTGTGAAAGGGAGATACATCTGCCTTTGGTGAGTGTGAGGGTGAGCGAGGGCCTGCAGAGGATGTGGGCTGCACAGTGACAAGGAGCTACAAGCTCCATACACAGACCAATGCTATGATGGGAATACTTCAAGTGAGTTTCCAGAAACGGGATCTTAAGTTGTGGGGAGCGAGCCACTCTGAATGATTTGTGCCTTCCATCCTGGAGCGGAGAGGCTTTGACCAGTCACTACATCTTGTGGTAACCTGGACATTGCCCCGGTCCAGGAAGTTGAGGGCGTGTCTTCAGACATAGGCAGGTCACCCCTGGAATTGAGCTACACTCATCTATTCCTTTGTAATACTACTCCTTTGCCCTGTTTGGGATAGAATGTTCCATGGAAGCTCCCTTTGTGTGTCCCCCTTCTCTTACTCTGCCTTTGGGTGTGGCCTTCCTAGATGTCAGTCAACCTGCTAACATCAGATATCACAAAGCTAGAATCAACCCCCTGAAACCTGACCCCTTGCTTCATTTGAATGGCTTCTCCTCAATAAAAGGGTTCAGCTGGTGCTCTCTCTCTTTCTGCAGACCCTTAAGGTCAGAGGAGACATCACAGGACCCCAAAGAAAAATCTCTGTCTCTTATGTGATTATTTCATGCAGCCAAGTTCATCTGGAATGACCCTGAGTGTTTTAGTCGTGAGGAACGTGACACCATATTGACAACCCACTGGCTATAGGTTGACCCTGAGCCAGCCTCCAAGTTCTCCAGAAAACTGACCTAGAAAGGCTCTGGGTAAAATCCACCATGAAAAGATACATCTCTTTGTGGGTTTGTTTTGGAGCTGGAGATAGAACCCAGGGCCTCAAGTGGGCAAAACATCTACTCTGCTCTGTGTTGAGCCATATCCTGGTCCTATTTTGGTGTTTGTTATTGTTGTTTTGCAGTACTGGGAATTGAACCCAGGAATACTCTACCACTGAGCTATGACCCTAGCCCTTTTTATTTTGAGACAGGGTTTTACTAAGTTGTTGAGGCTAGTTTCCAATGTGTGATACTCCTGCCTCAGCCTTCCAAATCACTGGGATTACAGGTATGCAACACTGTGTCCAGCCTTCCTTATGATTTTTTGGGGGGTACTAGAGATTGAAAACAGGAGAACTCCACAATTAAGCAACATCTCCAGTCCTTTTTATTTTTTATTTTGAGACAGGGCCTTGCAAAGTTGCTGAATTTGTGATCCTCCAAGCTTTTAACTTGCAATCCTCCTGCCTCAGCCTCCTGAACTGCTGGAATTACAGGAGTGTGCCACCATACCTGGCCCCTCCTTAGGATTTTAAACTGTGCTCTCCACCTCCAACTGCTCCCTACTAAGCATCACGACCTAGGTCCCTTGATCTTAGTATGCCCTGTGTGTCGAGGCCCTGGACACCTGCTACAGATCACTACAGAACTTCAGGCCAGCAAGTCATGGCCCTTGAGCTATGCACAGGTGCCCATCCAGCAACTCCAGGGATACCTTATGAGGCAGAGAAAGTATGGGTAGGGAACAGAGGGGGCTGCAGGAAGACTCACCTATGCACCAGATGTAGGTTTTCCTGCCGAAGCCGACCATGCTGCTCTCCGGCTGCAGCACTGTCCTTCTCCAGCTCTGACACCCGCCTCTCCAGAAAGACAACCTGGATAACAAAATGATGGCTTGAGGAGCAAGCAGAGGCGGAAGAACTGCACCAGGGGACAGGCTGGGGCAGCACAGGACTTCCACAGCTGTTTATCCACTGGACTTGGGTCTACCTGGTTCCTGAAGACTGCTCCATAATCACCACAGTACAGCTCCCCCTAGGGCCACGCTCAACTCCATAGCACAAGGACACAGGTCATCATCAGGGGTCCAATGCCTCGGAGCCCTGAGAACACCCTTCTAAATGGCACATGGGATAGCAAGGCTCAGCTCCCTCTACAAGTGGGGGTCCCTGCTCTGCCAGATATAGCCTATGGAGGAGGTCTGGGTGCCTGGGGACAGAAAGGCCCATTTCTTTCTTTCTTTTCTTTTTTTTTTAAATGGGGATTGAACTCAGGGGCACTGGACCACTGAGCCACATCCCCAGCACTACTTTGTATTTTATTTAGAGACAGGGTCTCACTGAGTTGCTTAGCGCTTCACCATTGCTGAGGCTGGCTTTGAACTCGCGATCCTCCTGCCTCAGCCTCGCGAGCTGCTGGGATTACAGACGTGTACTATCAAATCCAGCAGCAAGGCCTATTTCTGAAGCCGTCTGTCCCTCAGGGAGCTCACATGATGGGAGATAACACACATGCTCAGGTAGGAGAAGGAATGAAGGTAAGCAGAGGAAGAACTCACAGCAAGGTGCAGAGCTGAAGAGGTGGAGCTTCCATGGAGAAGGGCTACAGAGTCAGGGGGCATGCACAGGACCTGAGGTAGGGTGCAGAGAAGGTTAAGAGGTATGAAGAGGCAGGGAATATGCAGAGGAGGCAGGAAACACACAGAGGTGGTGAGTTGGAGTGCAGAAGGTAAGGTGTGGTACAGAGGAGATTAAGAGCGGTGCAGAAGAGGCAGGGAACATGCAGAGGAGGTGAGGTCAGGTGTAGGAGATGAAGTGGGGTGCAGAGGAGGTGAAGAGGGGGTGCAGAAGAGGCAGGGAACATGCAGAGGAGGCAAGGTCAGGTGCAGGAGATGGCATGCAGAGGAGATGAAGTCAGGTGCAAGAGGCAGGGTACAGTACGTAGCAGCTGCCACCTGCCTGAGGTTCATACTGGTCTTGGAACCAGGGGCCTTGGCCATGGTGAAGCTCCCTGCTCTGCTTGTTCTACTCCACTCTAGGAGAAACCCTTGGGGAAAACAGCCTACTCCTGGTACTGCTGGCTGTGCTTCTCCTCCTGATCCCTGAGCACCCTTGGCCCTGCCTCTACATGCTTGATGAACTGAAACTGTGCGTCCCTTAATGCTACTCCCCCAAACTGACAAACTGACCCACACATGTCCACACAAGCACCTGTGTGCTGCCTGAGACATGGGCATGGAGGTGAATGGCTTCTGCTGCTCAGTCCCATTCTCTTCAGCTGGCTCCATCCATGAACCATCAAAAGCTCTACTTTTACCCCATGGCCACTAAACCCCCAAGGGAACTTACTAGTCACCTATTCCTGGTCCTTAGCCCCCAGTGCCCAAGGCCCACCTTGTCAGCAATGTCTTCCTCTGGACCCTCCACAGGCTCTGGGGGAGGGTCCTCTAAGGCTTCCATGGTCAGGGCCCCCGACTGGTGCAGGTACCTATGGAAAAGAATCAATAGCAGAGGAAAGAAGAGGGAAAACCAAATGACAAGCTCTTCAAACACAAGCACCTGCGTGTCCCTCCGAAAGGCAGACAGCATAGTGGTCACAAGCCTCCCCACCCTGGGGCGGCAGACTCCTGGCCCAGCACTGAGCTAGGGGCTCCCGGCTGTGGCCTTTACCGAAGGGCCAGGAGTGAGCAGGCTGCACTCAGTGGCCTCTGTCCTCCCAGCACTCTCTGGAGCCTGATAGAACAGGACCTCCACGGCAGCTAACGGGAGCAGGGTACTTTGTACTTGGGTGCAATAAAACCTGACGTCACCCACACCAGGACAGGAAGCACGCTTGCCTTGAGCAGGCTGGCAGACACTGACTCTGGCCCTGGGCTCCAGCATGGGCACTGTTGCTCAAGGTTCTCCCTGCAGCAGTGGCAGTGAGGGGTCCCAAGGAAAGGCATGGGCCCTGGGGGTCTTGCTCAGCCTCACCTGGGTCCAGTCATGCCCACAGGTGTTGCCCCACCCATGGCTGGGAGACACCTGACTCTGTTGTCCTCACACCGGGGTGGTGAATCTGAAAATGCTAGTTCAGTAAGAGTCCACACAGTTCTCAGAGCTGTGCAGACAGAGAGCCTCGTGTCCATGTCCTTCCACACCCTGGACCCTCAGCACTGAGCCAGGCTCAGAGCTGTGTGACCTTGAGAGAGTGCTCAGTCTCCATGAGCCTCTCTCTCCTGGGAAATGGGGATCTTTAGGCATCCTTCAGACGTGCTTGAGGCCATGTTTACCAACAGCTGCACTACAGATCCAACTGAACACTCAGAGCCATCACACTAAAAACCTACATCAGCTTATCAGCAACGGAGTTCTGCTTCCTCTTCAGCATTGACTGGGCCTGCACACTTCTCTCTTTCCCAATAAATGGTTCAGGAGGTGAGGGACACTGCCAGGTTACAGAGCCACCACTGGCTGCACAGAACCTACCACTTCAGCTAGAATGTATATGCAAAAGACTGAAAACTGCAAAGTAAATCACAACTTTCCTGCACTTCCCAAGGATCTGATGGCCCAGGGCTCAGGAAGCTGAGGCAGGAGCAGGATGAGCTGGAGGCCAGCCAGGGGAACCTGGTGAGACCCTGCCTCAAAATTAAAAGAAAACGGGCTGGGAGGCATCTCAGTGATACAGTGCATGAAATTTATATGCAGACAGACTCACTGCAGAATGGTGTGCCTCTCTGCAGGTAAACTCTAACTGCCAATACCTGTAAGCAGGGCTATTTTACAACAAACAGTGTCTATAGAGGAAGAGTAAGTTCTTGGAAAGATGTAAGACTAAGTTCTTTAAAGGATGAAGCCTTTGTGCCCAGTCCTGTCTCCTCTCCAGCTTGCTAAACTCCTCTCTCTGCTTTTCCCAGGACGTGTCCAAGCACAAGGCCCCAAGAGCTGTTGCAAGGCCCAGTTGTGGGAGGCCAACAGGACATGGCTGAGTGGGTCCTCTCTTTCCTCAGTCCTACTAGACACCATGTGTTGGGGACAAAAAGCTCTCATGACAGGGACATTAAGGTGGACATGCTAAAGAATGTGCATCCTAGATTCAGGCTGTGCCTGAGAGCCCTAGGTTCTTCTCAACCAGAAAAGGTGGGGTGCAGACCTACACCTCTGCCTGCTCCAGAGCCCAAGCCTCAAGGGCCACAGGAGCTGCAGCATGAAGAGGGAGGCAGGAGGCATGAGCAGCAAGACAGCCAGAACCCAAGGGGAGCAGGCCCATTTCTCTGGCTCATTATAATTAGTGGAAATATTAAAGTCATCATAAAATTCTGAACTTCAGAAACAAAGAAACACTGTAGAAGCTTCCCGAGAGGGAAAAACTGTCACAAAGAAACAAAAATAAAAACACATTAAACCTCTCTGGAGCAACCCTGGCCCCAGAAGCCAAGCAACAGCTTCCAACTTTCTAGAAGAAAATTACTCACAGCCAGGGCCCCACATGGGCAGAGCAGAACTACTCCCAAGGGGCTGGGATTTACCTCCTGGCAGCTCTTTTCTCAAGATAACACAGGAAGATGTGCTAGGCAAAAAAAAAAATGGAGATAAGGGGAAGGAAGATGGGGACAGAGCCAGGTGATACGATCCCTGAAACAAAGGAACTTGGGGTATGGGGGAGATGCCCCAGGACCTGGAGATGTCCTGCCTAAATTGGGCAGTGATGGGAGGGAAACCCTCTGGCCTCCACAAAGGGCTGGCTGTGGAGGCAAGTAAGCAACCTCAGTGTCCTGGGAAGGGTGTCTACACCCCACACCCTGCACAGGGGATCTCAGACTGTCACAGAACTGGCCCGCTAGAACTTTCTACAGTATGAAAGCCAGGAGAGACACTGTAGGAAGGCATGGGCTGGGCAGCAGGCTCTGGAGCAGCAAGCCTTCACTGGGTCTCTGAGATGACCTGCAGCATACACTGGGGGACTGTAGTGTCCTCCAGCCCAGGCAGGGAGCACACAGTAACAGGGGAACACCCAAAAGTCCTAATCTATACTTCCCAGTCTTGGGCCCAGTCTAATCCATGGCCCTGGACATTCTTTCCACAACACATTCCCTCCACTGACTTCTATCCCAAACCATGAAGTAATTTATTTTTCTTTTTTTTAATATTTTTTTTTAATTGTAGGTGGACACCATGCCTTTATTTTTATTTATTTTTATGCAATGCTGAGGATCCAACCCAGTGCCTCACCTGAGCTAGGTTAGCACTCTATCACTGAGCCACAACCCCAGCCACCCCCATGAAGAGTAACTGTTAAAAAAGCTTTTTAAAATGTTTCTTGAAACTAAGATTATCAATGCATTTCACAGTATAGTCAGCAAGCAGTCGAGGCTCTGCCTACCTTGCCACCTTCCTGCTGGACAACTGCTTGGCTGGGCTGTGCAAAAACCAAACAACAGGAAAAGTGTCAGGACCAGAGAGAGGAACAGCAGGAAGCAGGAAGCTCAGGCGGAGGAGATAGTGGGTGCAGGCATGCAGCCCCCAGCCCCCTAGCCCTGTCACAGGACACCCATGCAGGACAGCGAGGATGGTGCGGCAGCACCCTCTAGACCCTGATAAGGCAACCAGCCTATAGCTCAGAGCTGGCTAGGGGCCCATGTCTGTCCACAGCATTGGTCAGCAGCCTGCCTCAGGCACCTCTGAAGTCAAATGACTGCCCAGAGGCCTGGTCATTAGGCCCATCAGTGGTTCTGACCTAGGCAGCAGCACCCCGGCCCAACACCTGTGGGGCAGGGGCTTAGAGTCCTGGGAGGTGGCCAGTCCCAGGGTGAGTGTCCATCCAATTCAATGATCCACAGTGGCAAAGGCCAAATGCACCCTCCTTCTGGTTCCTGAAGCCTACAGGGTGACCTGCCAGACTGAAGCTCAGGCAAGGAAGATAATTCTCCAGGCAAAGGGGCTGCCCACCTGGCATGGTGGCAGGCGGAGGCCACGCTGCTACAGCCTCTTGAAGAGATCTCCCCCCTCCCCGTCAGTGCTCTGTTCACTGACTCAAATTCACCTTCACACTTGCTCTGAAGCTTGTAGGTGGATCCCAGCACACATTTTTGCGTTTCGTATTACATCTTGCCAGCAGAGGGCACTGGAGAGACAGAGTGAGTTCACTAGAACTAGGCTCCTCCTAGTCCCTTAGCATTTGTGCCTCCCAGTGGCCTTCTGGTGGCACTCCGCTGGAGCACATTGTCCAGCAGCCTGGTAGCTGAGTGCTTCTGACAAGACCACTCCTGGGGAACAGCTGTCCTGGTGGCCAGGGTGATTTTCCAGCAGGTTCTAAAAGGCAGGCCCCATCAATCCCCGAGAGTGCAGCACCCCTGTGAAGTCTGTTGCCTACATTCCTGTGGGATGGCAGCCCCAGTTACAGGCCCAGACCCCACTCTAAGTGGGCAACAGCTTGCCCTTGGCCTCTGGTGGCAGCTGCCTGCAGCCCTGCTCAGAGCTCTCTGGCCACACAGCCACACTGCTCAGCACTACACTGCCCGTTCGAGGCACCACGTGGCTCCTCTCCTGACTGGGCCCTGCTGGCGTTGGGCAATCCTAGCATCCCTGACACTCTCTGACAACAGGCCAGGGTGGACTGCTCAGGCTAACCAGCAACCCTCAGAGCTCGACAGGCAGTTAGCAACAGAGGTCATGATTTAAACACACCCCTGGATAAGGAAGACTTCTGTTTCTACAAAAGGGATGGTTTTCTCAGACTTCCTGGTACTTGGAGAAGGGCTTTCTAGCCACGCCAAGAGGTAGCCTAGCCTGTTCTCTGGCCTGCAGGTAACCAGGGCCACCTTCAGGCAGATCCTTGGCATGGGAACAGATGGCTTCCACGTGGGAATCCTCAGCAAGAGAAAGACAAGACACATTTCCTTTCACAAGAGGCCTGCACTCAGATGCATTCTCTGGCAGGGGGCACTTCTGCACAGGAAGAACACCAGCCCTCCCCAGCCAAGCCAAGGCTTCTTCGAGAGCTGCACTTCTAGCTGAACACCATAGTGGGTAAGAACTGGGCTCCCCTAAGTAGAGGCCAGTTCCAAACTGCGGACTACTGCAGTCATCAGAGACAGGTTCCTCAGGAGTGCCCCTCACAGATTGCTCTGCCTTATTGACATTGCCAGGACCCACCTGGCTCCCTGATGCTGCCAATTGACTACAAAGGCTGGGTTACCCCATTCTCTCCAATGTGCCTGGCACTTGCTGGGGCCTGTGCAGTGCGGTGCTGCAGGAAACACAGGAAGGAGCGTTAAGCACACACAGATGTGGACAAGGGGAAGGTGGGGCCACTGAGGCCACTGTTGGGAGGACTCTACCTAGCTGAAGCCCAGAAGGCACAGGCAGGGTAGGGCATGCTCCACCGGAAGCACAGGTGGCCTTGACGGACTTGGAAGGTCTGCCTTTCTGCCACCCTCCCATAGCCCACAGTGCGTCTGTCCAGCTGGAGCCTGTGTGGTCACTCACCACCTCTGCTCAGCTGGGACTGCTGTGGGAAGCTTCATAAGTAACCATCCCTCAAAGCAGCCTACCCTAAGGGCTTGCCCATGTGCAAAAACAACTTTTCTAGGGTGAGTTTGTGAAGTTGTGAGGAACTGGCAGGAGGAGTTCCCTGAACATCGACCCACGCTGGGTCTGCTCACAGGACAGGACAAGGAGGGCTGCGATGTAAACCACAGCAGGAGGGAAGAGACACAAATGGGGTCTGGCCAAGGGGCAGCTACAGGCTGGTGTTTAAGACAGAGCAGCAGAATTGGGCTTCCCCTGTACTTGGGTCTCTGGCTACAGCACAGAGCCGGACCTACTGAGCACACACAACCCTGACTAAATTGGCATTCCCAAAAGCCATTTAAAAACATGCTTCTGAAGACCAATCTTTAAATTTCCCATTTCAATTAAAGATAATCACTTAGTGAAATGTGGGAAGCAGCCTCATACACAATGGACCCTTTATTTCCTCCCCCAAGAAGACAATGGCCAGGAGGCTATTCGTGCAGATGGAAGAGGGAACAGGAAAGCAAGCACAGCTCACAGCATGCAGGGAGGGCCAGGCTGCAGGAAGAGTCCCACTGTCTGGATACCCTCCTTTGCTCCAGAGATTGGGCCGGGCCTGGGAAGAAGTCCCCAGCATTGGCCAGACCAGAGCCACCAGCAAGGGGCTATGGCAGCGGGAGTCTCCCTCAGCCCAGAACAGAGAGCAAGGCCATGTGCTGCATCCGTTACCTATTCATCTCAAGATCATTCAGGCGGGCAGAAAGGTCCTCAAGGCGGTTGATTTGTTTGTGGCACTGGCTACAGTAAAACTCAAAAGCCTCGTCAGTGAGGATGCTGTGTAGCTTTGAGGCAAGCGGGTCGGAGCTAGAGAGACAGAAGCGACAGTTCAGCACAGGGGAGGGCCTGTCGGGTTATCTGTGATGCCACATGAGGGCCGGGGATGAGGTGGGCACTGGATGAAAGCATGCTGGAAAAGAACCAGACAGAACATTCTGGCTCTCTAGACAGCCCGTGTGCTCTTCTTCATTATCACCCCAAGGAGCCTGTGACACATACCTCCTGCTCCAGGTGATGCCCACTAGCCAGATCTGTCCTGGACAAGGCACAGTACTGGTGCAGCTAATGGCTTCAGTGTAAAGCACAACCTTTCACCAACAAGAAGGTGAAGGAGCTCACAGCTTTCTCTTGGCCAACATGGCAGCAAGCCCTGACCACAGCTGGAGCTGGCCTGTTGTACCGTTTTACACATCAGTGTCAAGAACCATGCACTACAGTGCGTTGCTCACAGGCTGTGCTTTTCTTTGGTACCCAGGGGCACTTAGCCACGTCCCAGCCCTTTTTAATATTTTATTTAGTCCCTACAACTAGAAGCAGAAGTTAGGAGGTCATCCTTGGGGCAGTAGGGCTCACAGGCTAGTGGAAATTCTTTTAGAAAAGTTTCAATTTAAGGAAAGGTGGAAAGGAAAACATTAAACATAGCACAGAAGTTTTACTTTTGAATGAAAACTCTGGGTAAGAGGCAAACTACACAAAAGGAAGAAACTCTACAGCAGGACAGAGATACAGGCTCAGAAGTGCCAAGTTCAGCTGGATGAGCCCACTGCCTCATCCCCAGGGACACCTCAGAGGACCTCCACCCCACAGTGGCTTCAGGAACAGCCCTACTGGCATTGCTCTCCACAGGGCTGGCAAGGGAATAATCTCTTCTTCTGGTTGCTGGTTTAGAGACTCTTAGCTTCTGCTGTTGGCAGTGGCGGAGAACTATAGGAGCCTCTAGCAGACTCAGGTCCTCAAATAGGTCAAGCCAGGCAACTCTGAACTCTGCTGGGATCTCCTCATGCACAGCCCTAAGAGAAAGTAGGTGTGTCACCCCCACTCCAAGAGTTATAGTTCAGTTATTCAAAGCCACAACTTTCCAGAGAGTTTAGGAACGTTGGGTAATTACAAGCAAGTGTATCTGAGGACTTGCTTGAGATTTTAAAACCTCTTTCCAACCAAGCCACAGACCATGGAGTGGTCCATGACCAGGTGCCAAAGAACCTGCATGTCAAGTTCCAAGCACACCTTCAAGCCTCCTGGAGCTGCTGAGACCTCAGAGGTTTGCAGTGATTGGTGGTATGTCAGCCAACTTCCACCCAGATGTAAACTTAAAATCTGAGTGTGGTGCACTTGACATCACCTTGAACACAAAAAGTTTTCTCTTACCAACATATAGAATCCAAAACAGAGACACTGGATAACTACCCAGGAAAAGGGAGGGAGGGGGTAAGCTCAGGGCCACTTTACCTGGGAGTGAGGAAAGCGATGTCACTGCAGCCCAGCTCCCCACTGCAGAGGGCCTCTGAGGACAGCTCGGCCTCACTGCCCTCACCGTAGTCCTCAAAATGTTCCTCGCTGCTCATCACCATGACGACAGCCTGGCTGCGAGGGCGGGGCCTGCAAAGGCAACAGAGGCCACCTGGCTGCACAACCACACCTCCCCACAAGTGAGTTGCCAGCCATCAGCCCAGCTCCACTGTCCTGGGAGAACATGGAAGCAGGTGAAGTTGATTTTAATGAAATACTCAGCCTGACAAATAAAGAGCAGCACCATCCAAATGTACTGGATTTCTCACATCTTCCCTCACAGGACACTGTGTGTCAGGCACCAGCAGAGCCACATGCATGCAAAGGATCCATACAGGTCCAGCTCTGAGATGCTCAGGAGCAATACAGAACACTCCTCTGGCCAGAGGGAACCACAAGGGACTGGCATGCCAGTAGCAGGCAGGAGGCCCACATGGTGCCCCTCACAGGGAGCAAGTCCCAGTTTTACATCCACAAGACACGCACGTCATTGCCCAGTCCTGGGCAGCCAGGTGAGCCCAGGGCCTCAGACACAGGAGCCTTCCAGGAAGAGGAAGCACCCTGAGCTCTCTGTGGATCCTAACCATGGCCTCTCTCTCCTAGTTTCAGTCAACCAAGATCAACCGAGTCCAAGAATATTAACTGAAAAATTCCAGAAATAAGCAATTTCTACATTTTAAATACATAATTTTTTAAAAAAATATTTCTTTAGTTGTAGATGGACACAATACCTTTATCTTATTTATTTATTTTTATGTGGTGCTGAAGATCAAACCCAGTGCCTCACATGTGCCAGGCAAGTGCTCTACCACTGAGCCACAATCCCAGCCCCTTCCTGGGGTGGGAGCAGGGCTCCTCCACCTGGGATTTTTTTAAACTGGGGATTTAACCTAGGGGCTCTTAACCACTGAGCTGCATCCCCAGTCAATTTATTTTTTTATGCTGAGGCAGGGTCTCATTAAGTCGCCTAGACTAGCCTTGAACTTGGATTCTCCTGCTGCAGCCTCTGGAGTGGCTGGGATTAAATATTTTTTACCGCAGTATTTTTTTTTTCCCCAGGTACCAGGGATTGAACTCAGGGGCACTCAACCACTGAGCTACACCTCCAGCCCTATTTTGTATTTTATTTAGAGGCAAGGTCTCACTCGGTTGCTTAGCCCCTCACCATTGCTGAGGCTGGCTTTGAACTCGCAATCCTCCTGTCTCAGTCTCCCCAGCCATTGGGAATACAGGCATGTGCCACCGTGCCCAGCCATAGTATATTGTTTTAATTGTTTTATTTATTACAAGTTAATTTTAAGCTGTTACTGTGCCTAGTTTACATATTTTAAGGTAAGCCTTTTCCCAGTGCTCTGCACACAGGAGAAAACACCATCTTTGGGCTCCATACACACAGCTCCAGCCTCCACTGGGTGCTACAGCCTGTGCCTACTGTGTGGAGTATGTTCTCCAGTCACCCAGAAACTGAACTGCGTGGCTCACCCTAACTACAGGTGGACCCCTTGTGGGGCATGGTGACAGAAGAGGTGGTCCCTGGCAATTATTTCCTGCTTCTCAGGATCGCCAGGCACCTGGATCCTGTGAGAGAACTCCTACAAGGGAGAGGACTCCACAGGGGCAAGCACACGTGGCCATGGGGCCAGGTACAGCTGCCCTGGGCCCAGGTGGAGGAGCCCTGCTCCCACCTCAGGAAGGGGCGAGTGACAGGATATCTTGCACTCGGTCGTCCAAACACTCTTCCTTCACTGAGTCCACAGAAAATGGGAGCTATCAGCTTATGGGTCAACCAGATCACTGTCACTAGCAAGTTCCTCTAATACCTGCAACTTTAGCATTTCCAAAAACCATGTCCCAAACCAGACACCGGCCTGTTGTCCTGCAACCCTCAGGGCACCACACTGTTTATGCAGCTAACATTGCAGGTCAGGAACCCTCCCAAGACAAACCTCACCCCAGGATTTCCCAGGTCTGGCATTCCCTCACCTCTGACTACCTAATTCAAATTAACTTGAGTCAGAACACTTTTTTTTTTTTTTTTTTTGGTACTGGGGATTGAACTCAGGGGCACTCGACCACTGAGCCACATCCCCAGCCCTATTTTGTATTTTATTTAGAGACAGGGTGTTACTGAGTTGCTAAGCACCTTGCAGTTGCTGAGGTTGGCTTTGAACTCAGATTCTCCTGCCTCAGCCTCCCTAGCCATTGGGATTACAGGTGTGTCCTACCGCGCCGGCCCAGAACACCTTTTTTTAAAAAAAATATTTATTTTTTAGTTGCAGTTGGACACAGTACCTTTATTTATTTATTTTTATGTGGCGCTGAGGATTGAACCCAGGTCCCTGCACAGGCGAGTGCTCTACCACTGAGTTACACCCCAGCCCTTTTTAAAATTTATTTTTTAAATTTTTTTAGTTGTAGATGGACACAATACCTTTATTTGTTTATTTATATGTGGTGCTGGGGATCAACCCAGGGCCTCATACATGCAAGGCAAGCGCTCTACCAATGAGCCACAACCCCAGTCCCTAAAATATTTTTTTAGTAGTACATGAACACAATATCTTTATTTATTTTTATGTGGTGCTGAGGATCAAGCCCAGTGCCTCACATGTGCAAGACACATGCTCCAACATTGAGACACAGCCCCAGCCCCTAGAACACTTTTTAAGAGCACTGTAACCAAAGTTAACAGGCCTTACCACAGTGCCCCTCTACGCTTGTCCTTCCCTCCATCCTGCTGCAAGCCAAGGTGCCAATTGCACTTGCTGCTCCACGTCCACAAGGCAGAAGCCCCAGAGGCACATCCCTCCAGGCCTCCATCAGAACAGCACACCTACATGGGACACCCAAACCCAAGGACCTGGGCAACAGAGAGTGAGGTCACGTACAAGGATAGACACCAGCAGTAGAGTGCTGATCCGCCCAAGTGCAGCAGAGCCATCACCGTCCCAGCTGCAACTCATCTCCCCAAACCACAGCTAGTTCTCAACATGTGCAGATATAGAGGACCCCAGGGATCAAAAAGACTGTGAAAAATGAAGCCAAAGGACTTGCACCCTACAGTGAGCTCGGTGCTCAGAGTGGCCTCGACCCAGGAAGACAGTACAGAGCAGCCCCCACATAGCCACCTCACAGGACCGTAGGTGAAGGGGAGACTTGAAAAGGCAACTTGCTCCAGTAGATGTCTCTTTGGGCAATGACCCCCACCTTACACCACACACAGAAGCCAGCTACGTAGAAGTTCATACCTGAACATGAAGGCAAAAGAATCAAGCTTTAAAGAAAGCAGATACTAATATCATAGTAACTATGGAGTAAGCAAGATGCTAATTTTGCTGAAGAAAAATGGATAACCTATACTATCATAAAACTAAAAACACCTGCTCCTCAAAATGAAAGGCAGACCAACAAAGGAGAAAGTTTCCGTAACTCAGGTGCTAAGGACTCACATCTACACCACTCTGTGCTCTGAGGCAACAGAGCCCACCTGACAGTCAAGGCAGGCCACACCCTACCATGGCTACTTCTGCAGACAGTAGCTATGGCACACCTGCCTACGCTCCCCCACTGCCAGATACCACCTGGCCTCTCACAGAAGCCTGCTGACAACAAACAAGTGGGTGCTTCACAGAAGAGGAGCTCAAGGGGGCACTAATCCTAGGAAGAAGTGCACAGCCTCCCAGATTCTGGGCTATGCCACTGCTGCCCCAGAGCTGCAGGCTCCCTGTGGGGAGAGCTCAGGCGAGAGAGAACAGTGGGACCCACAGCCGTCTGTGAGCTGCCCGTGACTGCAAGAGCTGTGGGAACTTCAAAACTGCAGTATGTGCCCCCAGTGACCCACCATAGTGCTTCTAGGGACACACAGTGCCCACAGCAACTTAACTCTCAAAGCTGGAAATAGGAAGGAACTTAACTCCCTTGACATTCCATCAGGTTAAAAACTGGCAAACTGGTCCAGTGGGATGGGATCCCCTAATGATAAGGAACAAATGATAGATGCCTATGCTCCAAAACGAAATGCGTCTCAAAACCTGAAGGTTAGATCAAAGAAGATGGGTGCTTACAAGGGACCCCTACGTACATGCATATAGGTGAGGTGGCAGGGCTTGCTGTGCAGGAAACATGCCCAGGAGGAGGCTGGGGGCACCCTGGTGAGGGCGTGGGCTTCCCACAGGACAAGCTCTTCACTCTGAAGAGCCAACTGGATGGGTACTCAGGCCTGTGCACCAGCAACACTGTAACACCTGGGCTGTGCTGTGCACACTGATGAGTGCTGAAAATGAGGAGAGGTACAAGAAGAAAAAACAATGCAGATGCTCTGGGCTGCTAGCTGTGTTGGCTCCCAGCAGTGAGGGGTGAGACAGGGCTGTTTCCAGGGTCTATGTGGGCTGGCCCTTCCTTTTCCTAGCACCCTGGCCATTCCCCAAAAATTTCTAACACAGGATAACTGGGACACCCTGGGGGCAGGGCAGGGGATCAGAACAGGTAGTATGGATAGGGTGCCACAAAGACATCTGATGAGCACTGTGTTGTCCAACTCCGAAGAAGTGTGCTGACAAGACATAGGAGACCAAGTCAGGGTTTGTCTTTTGAGACACCGAAGCCAAGGCCATTCACTGCCAGCAGAAGCACCTCCCACAAGGAGGCAGTGCAAGAGACTGGGCAGCAGGGTGGCTCTGTGATGACAGGCAGGAACTGCCGGACAGCACAATCCATGGACCATATCTGCCCAGCTGGCAGTCCCCTAGGAGGTGCAGTGGGCACACACCTGCCTGGGAGGAGCAGTAGAGCACCATGGTCAGTCTCCTCCATGGTGTCCAGGCACTCAGAGGGCACAGCTGAGCCACCAGCGCTGTCAGCATCCCCCTCAGGCTGCAGCTCAGGGTGCACCAGGGTGCTGGTGTCCTCATCAGTAAAGGTCTCGCACTCGCTGTAGGTGCTCTCTGAGCCCATGTACGCACTGTCCGTCACCTCGTTGGCCTGGAAAAGAACACCAACAGACAGATCAGCCTGGGCAGCGAGGTGACGCTGCTGCAGAGGACATACAGGCCCAGCAGAAGTTCAAAGCACGTCTCTAGATAGAGATGATAGTTTATTAAACAGGATTGGAGTCAGGTTCTGTTTTTTGGGTTTTTTTTTGCGGGGAAGTGGGGGCAGGGGCGATAAAGGTAAGCACAGACTCCACCACTGAGCCACATCCCAGTACCACAGTTCTTCCATTCTGGGGAATTTTTGATTTTGGGTTTTGTGTGTATGTATGTGGTTCTGGGGATTGAACCCGGGGTGCTCTACCATTGTGCTGCCCCAGCCCTTTATTATTTTTTTTTTCTGAGATCAGGTCTTGCCAAGTTGCCCCGGCTGGCCTTGAACTTCCCATCCTCTTGCCTTTGTAGAGGCTGGATTATAGGCGTGTGCCATGGCTCCTGGCACATATTTTTTAAAATAAAAAAAATAGAAACATGTACAAGAGCAGACAAAAACACTTGGAGTCAAACATTTTTGGTTGTACTGGGATACAACCCAGGTCCTCATATATGCTAGATAAGCGCGCTTATCACTAAGCCAAAACCCCAGCCCTACTTGGCAATCATTTTTAGTCAGTTAAATAAGCATGCATAAGACAGATGCAAAGTATCTCAACAGCACAGGTGAAGCCCAGCAGAGCCCTCCTGTGGCTTCTGACATGAAGGCTGCTCACGACCGAGGAATTCACATCCAGTGGTGCGAGAAGGGCCCTCACTGGGGAGTCACCATCAACTGCTGTTATGTCCAGACTGCTACTCTGGTATGCAGTCAAGGGTTAGCGTCTAAAAACTCACCAGCTTCTAGCTGATCATCTGCTTTTCACTGGCCATGTCTGTTTTTACTCTTACCAGCACCTAGCATAGGCTTGGCATACAGCAGACAATAACATCCATAGTCTGTACAAATGAACTTAAAACTAAAGAATCATTAAGGGGACATTTTCAAATCAAATGGAATTCAATCTCAACTTTCACTAAAAGGCACTTGCAGGTCAGGAGCAGTATCCAGCTTTTATTTCATGCTCACAATCTCAGGTTAATGATTTGTAAACAAGTAAGACTTCAGAAAAGCTCCAGTTTTAGCAGGAAAAAGGTGCACTTTAAACCCCAGATCTGGTATCACAAGGAGGATAAGACATCAAGGACTACCCACAGGACTCATTGAACGTTGGAGCTTCATCTCAAGACCAGGCCTGGGCCTTTGGGCCAGTGGGAAACCCAGCTCCATCCTCACCCACCATTGAAAGCCATGGGATTCAACCTAGAGCCTTGAGGCAGCCACCTCACAGGAGTGCAGGTAACACAGGCAGGTGCTTTTTAAAGCACAGAAATTAATGTGAGAGGGCACCAGTCTCTAGAGGGTAGAAAGCCAGACTAAGATAGGGAACAACATGGAATATGCAACTCTGGGTGTCAGATTACATCCTCAAGTTTTCAAGGGAAACCTAACCTTCTCCAGAATCTAAGAAAATTAATTCATTAAAAAAAAAAAAAAAAAAACTAAGGGGGCGCTGGGGATATAGCGCAGTCAGTTGGTAGAGTGCTTGCCTTGCATGTACAAGGCCCTGAGTTCAATCCCCAGCACTGGGAAAAAAAAAAAAAAAAACTAAGGGGTGCTGAGGCTGTGTGAGGCACTGGGTTCGATTCTCAGCACCACATATAAATAAATAAAATAAAGGTCTATCAACAACTAAAATAACAAAAAAACAAAAAACAAAACAAAAAAAAAAAACTAAGGAATCCATAGGAAGAATCTGCTTTGAAATAAAAACCAAAATGTCACCTTAAGGCTAGGCATGGTACAGGTCAGTAATCCCAGCAGCTCTGGAGGCTGAGATAGAAGGATCCCAGGTTCAAAGTCAGCCTCAGCAATAGCGAGGCACTAGGCAACTCAGGGAGACCCTGTCTCTAAATAAAATATAAAATAGGGCTGGAGATGAGGCTCAGTGGTTGAGTGTCCTTGAGTTTAATCCCCCCAACTCCACCCCCCCCAAAAAAAAAGTCACCTTACAAGGTGTCAACTCCAGTTCCATTCATTACCCTGAGTAGCTCCCTCCAAATAAGGCAGGCTAGGACCCCACTTGGCCAGGGCTCTGGGCTGGCCTGCTAGAGGCCGGCCCCTGGGGGACAGCACCAGAACAGGACACAAAGCCTAACTCCAGCCTCTGACAATACCTGAGGAGAGCTGCTAGCAGAACAGTACTCATAGGTGCAGCTACAAACTCTCCCACCAGCACTTGAAAAACCCTCCTTAGATTTGTCAAAATGTGATTATCAACAAAAGAGCAGGTTCAGCTCTTCAGTATTTAATGAAAATTTTCCAAAAGAATGTTGCTCACTTGCCGGGCATGGTGGTACATGCCTATAATCACAGCAATCTGGGAGGCTGAAGTAGGAGGATCACAAATTTGAGGCCAGCCTCAGCAGGTTAGCAAGGTCCTAAGCAACTTAGGAAGACCCTATCTCAAAATTAAAATAAAAAGAACTGGGAGGTAGCCCAGTGGTGAAGTGCTCCTGGTTTCAATTTCCAGTGCTCCCCACCAAAAAGACCATTACCCCTTTTCACAAGGATAGTCCCCTGAAGCCAGCACCAAGCACTGAGTCCTGGAACAGGGGAACAGGCAGAGCTATACACCTGACCCTCAGCAGCAAGAACCATGAGGTCAGATCCCAACCAGGAACCCACAGAGCTGGCTTCCTGTAAGCAGCAGCCTCTACCTCAAGGTGGGCCCTCTAGAAAGCCAAACACTTCTAGAGAGCCCCGTGCTTGTCCCTGGCCCTGTGGACCCTGCTCCTCACCGATCACCCTGACATCGTAAGCGCTCTCTCCTCAAATGCAGATCACAGTGGGAACCAGGCACTTCTCCTTCCAGGGAGGGAGGGAGGCCCAGGCGCTGGAAGCTGCTCATGTCACAGAGAGTTCGGTCAGGGCAGCATGGAACAGATAGCGCCATCCTGACACAGGACAATGGCACAGTGCTACAGACTCTGACTGCCCTGCGAGCCTGGCAGGGACACCATGTGCCAGGCGGCCTCCCACCTTTCAGACAGACCCAGGAGGGTGGCCGCCGCCCAGCCTCAGGCTCTCGCACCTGAAGCAATATCTACCACTGGGTGGCCCAGCCCTGCATGTGACAGGTCAATTCAGCTCAGACTTGTCCCTCTATCTGTTCCAAACAAGCCACCAACAGGGTCTTGCTGGTCTTGTCCACATAGCACTGCTGTGAGCACTTGGGTCTTCCTGCAGGGATAGTAAAGAGCCTTTAAGTCAGAAACAGGAAGCCCAGGGAGGGCATAGGAAGTGGCCCAGTCAGGCAGGAGGCCGAGAGCTGGGAGGGCAGGAATACCTAGTTTTTCCCTGCCAAGATGCATGGTTACAGCCAGCTACTGCAGCATATCCCACACACACACTCAGTGAACCAGGAAGCAAGTTTGTTTCCTAGAGGCCTCTCCAGAGAGGCAATGGAGCATCTTGGAGCATATTGCTTACCCACAGCCATGGACGCACCCCAAGTACAGCACCCCTGGTCACACCACACCTGCCAGCAGACAGACCCAGCTTGGCCCAGGAGCTAGCACGTCTATGCCAACAACTTCTATTACTAACTCACTTGAAAAATCCAAAGCACTTCTTAGAAAATTTCACGATTTAATACATTGTCTAAGCTGAAGATGGATGGTCCAAGGCCATTGCGGGTGGCTCCCCCGAATCCAGGTCACGGCTCCTTTTTCCCTGAACCTTTCTCCTCCATGAGACGCTGAATTCTGGGCACAGTACACACTAGCATTGCCTCTTACCCTCAGATGTTAGCCGGTACCTTCACAGGGTTGGCTCTGTGCACGGGCTCCAGGGAGGGTGTGCCAGCAGGGCAGCCTCCCAACCGCACCTCCGCGTGGACCAAGTTGCTGTTTTCTCTCCACTCAGTGTGGTCTTCCTATCTGCTACTCATGCTGGGCTGCTGCAAAACCTGTGTGCCTGCTGGAAGCCACATCACAGCATACGAGACAACCTAACTGCTCCCAGACATGCTCTGTTAAGCCCATCGCTGGTGCTGGCCAGGCCAGGAAGGGAGAGGCAAAGTCCAGGAGATGTCCTTGCTGGCTGTAACAAACAGTCAGGGCCCAAAACAGGCGGCTTTTGTTTTACGCTTTGATAACAGTCGGTACTAAGGACACATTTCCATCACCTCTCTAAGGACGCCAGCAAGCAGGAGGCAGCACCTAGGAAGCGTGGCCAGGACCCCTCTGGGTGGTCTTGTCATCTGGGGGGGCCTCTCCTCTCTGCAACTGCCCACTGCACTTCTAGAAAGACTTAGACAAGCTTCCCTCCCAGGACAATCTGGGCAATATCAGCCCCACCTCCCTGACTTGCCCATGTCAATGGCCTCCTCCTTTACAGACACAAGCCCAAGGGTCCCGGGGAAGCTGCAGCTCCTGAGCAGCCAACTGCACCTGTACCCCATAGGCACTGGGCTAGAGCACACAGTATTCCCAGTTAGAAAACTCCATTCTGACTGGAGTCATTTTCAGAAGACCAGGCAAAGCTTATTGATCCCTGCAGATGACCAGGAGCAAGGCTCCAAGCACAGTCAATGGAAGTAACGCCCTTCTGCACTCAAAAAGCATGTGAGACTTTTATGATTATGTGATGTGCAAGCTTTCCATTCTTTTAAGAGTAGATGCTTTTCATAAGTTTCACAGTGGTATTTAGTGCTGCTCATCTGAAAATCACACCTGGAAACCCCCAAAAGCAAGACATGGAGAAACGCAAACACACAGGACTGAGAGAAGCCAACACACTATGCTCAAGCTCCAAGGTACTATAGGAGGAGGAGGCCTTGCAGGATGCCCTCGCTTGGTCAGAACCACAGAAAGCACAACACCAAGGCAGCTGTGTCCTCCTCGTTAGTGACTAGGTACCAGCACAGGCCCACCAGTGTGAGACATTCGTGGGCAGAAGGGTGCACACAAATGGACAGCTTCTGTTGGTTCCATTCAGTAAACCTAAAACTGATCATGTGACAAGGGAGCTGAGGCTCAGAGCACAGGGTTCAAAGTCCAGCCTGTTTGCTGCCTTAGCAAACTGCAGAGGGCTGGCTAGGGCTAGTGCTTGCTACCTCCAGCCTCTCTGGCACGGCTGGAGGGCTTAGGTTAACTCCATGTTGTTCCTTGGGGAGATGGGGTTTCACTATGTTTCCCAAGCTGCCCTCAAACCCTGGGCTCAAGCAATCCTCCTCCCACATCAGCCTGCTGAGCAGCTGGGACTTAGGCTCCATGTATTTTGTATTGAAAACATTCTACTTGGGAGGATGAAGCAGGAAGATCCTAAGTTCGAGGCCAGCCCCAGCAACTGGTCTCAAAACTTTTTAAAAGGGGTGGGATGTAGCTCTGTGGTAGGTAGAGTGCTTGCCTACATGCATGAGGCTACATGTTCAATTTCCCAATACTGAAAATAAATAAATGAATAAATGAAGCAAGCATTCCAGACCCAGCTACCAGATCTCCTGCCTCCTGGACATGCTTACAGGGTCTGTCTTTCTTCACCGTGACGTCCATAGCTATGTTGGCAACAAGGGACCCACAATTAAGGAGACACATCATCATGACCACCCTGGATACACCTGGGAGCAGGAGGTGGAGAACAGTGGAGCAGGACGCAGGTGTTAAGTCAAATGTCCCCAAACATAAACACTGCTTGAAAGTTCTTCAAATCTTGCAGACTTCTGCTGCATGCAGAGGGTGACAGTGCTGTCACCACAGAGCCCTGACAGCCCACCCAACGTCTGCTCCATAGATGCCCAAGGGAAACTCCTGCAAGAGCCCAGGAACAGTGTGGGGAGTGAAAGGCCCCTAGAGCTCAGAGTCCAACACCCAAATACCCGCAACCAGGTGCGAAGATGGGACAGATGCTTCATCCCTCATGAGGGGCAGCCCTGGAACAGGACGCAGCACAAAGAGGAAGAAGCTACACATCAGGCTTGGGCCAACACTTGCCTCGTAGGTGACGAAGTCGTAGAACTCATCAGCGCAGGTTGAGGAATCCTCATCCTGGGCAGGCACCACGCTGGGCAGCTGGCTGTTGGACTCTGTGGATACAAGACCCAGCACTGGTGAGACCACTGGAGCCTCCGGAGGTGCAAGGTGCCACGCAGTCAGGAGTAGGGAGGGTCTGGAGTTTGCTGTGGGGGAAGCAAGAGGGGAGAGGCCAGCAGGGCGAGATTGGAGGCCACATCCCCAGGAAGTGGGGTTCCACCAAAGTCTGGGCACTGGTGTCAGGGAAGAACAGCAGAACTTCACTCCTCATAAAAACCAAAGGCCACTGCCAAAGAAAAAGAGCAAGGCACCAAGCCCTTCAGACTCTACAGAATGCCAGGTACTAATAATCCAGACTTAGGAGCCAAACCCCTGGTGACAGGGGAGGCACGGGCTCCATGAACCAGCACAGGACACACCCATCCTGCAGCTGAACTCATAGGCAGTTTACATTCCCCTCTTCTACTTGACTATCTTCCAAAATGCACATTTCCTTTCATAGACAAAACTCATGAGGGACAGACAGAATTCACTGCTCTTCAAACACATGGATCCCACTGCACTTGCCTGCCTCCTTCCATGGGAACTGAGGCAGAGGCAGGACACACAGGGCAAGAGGCAGCAAGGCAGCTTCTGCCTCCTGGTGTCAAGATACATCAACCACTCACTCAGCATCTTCACCATGACCCACCTGACACCAGCCACATATGGAAAAAGCAGAGTCGAGTCTCTCAAGTGCCAAGTTCTCCTGGGAGAAGCTCTGAAATAGGATGGCTTCCTGCAGCTAGGCTGGAGGGACCAAAGAAGGTTCCTGCTGTGATCTGGACCACGTGGGTGAGTATCACATAGTTGCCACAACCCAAAAGGTCTGGGTTAATGGGGAAGCAAGGATGGGCATCCATGGAGCAGAAGGGCATGCTACTGCCCCATCCAGTTTCTAGATGTCTCTCAATAAAAATCATGACAATTATTTCCTGACAGTGTGCAAACTAAAACCTTCACACACGTGGCAACTCATGCTGTTGTCCTCTGTGGTTTTCAAGAATCACAAGTCTTCTTGGGGCTGAATGAAGCATTCTGGGGTGTATGACTGAACCTCTGGGGAGCCAGGAGTAACAAGGTCTCAAGTCCAGCCTTGCTTGGCTCTTCAGGCAGACCCGGCCCTACCCCACCATAATGGCCAAGGTTCCCACACTGGTGTAAGTTGGTTGTAGCAAGCTGCAGCAGAACTACTCAAGCTCATGACGCAGATGCCACTGGCACAGATGGGACCATTAGAATTCTGCAGCACAGGAGGGCCCATCTTCCCAGGGCAACGGGACTGCACACTTGGTCACAGGTCAGATTGCTGCTGGCAGGTTGCCACCATTGGATGCTGGAGTGCTTGCACTTCTTAAACGGAAATTCAGAACTCAGAAGTGTCAGACAGCCAGCACTCCAGCACCTGGACACGTGATTCAGTTGGCACCCAACCTCAGAGTCCCAGGGAGACCTGAGCACAGCTTGTATTGTTTGTATCCTCATATCAGCTATCTCTGTAAGAATGAAACAATGTTCAATTAAAATTGAAAAATTCTAACCCCCATTCCCCTTATTTTTCCAGAGCAATAGCCTATTTGTAACAAGTCCTTCCCTATCTCACTGTTTCTGAAACAAGGCCTGTAGCCATGACAGTAAAATCTCCTGGCACTTCCCTGCAAACTAGGTCAACACATCACGTAGCCTCTGCTAGTCCCCAGTGCCGGCAGCTATGCAGGCTCCAGGCAAGGTCTGAAAAGCATCCGTGGAAGGCAGTCTGGGCTATCATGTGTTCGCTCCTTTTTCACACATGCTATGAAATAATTTCAGGACCACCTCTGCCTTGTTCATATTTTCACTCTCCCTCCCTGATGAAATCTAAACAAAGTCTCAAAATCACAAACACAGAGAAGCAAAGCCATTGCCTCAGCCCCAGCAGCAGCATGTCCCACATCTGTGGTCCCACTAGCGCTCCTTCCCTAAGCCCACATCAGCTCTGAAAGCAGGCCCACCAAGCTGGTGCTGAGACTGGGCTGGAATTCTAAGGCTGGTTCTCTCACAGAGAAGATCCCACAGCACACGGCCTGGCCTGACCTGGCCGCCTACGCCTGTGGACACCTACTGCCTGAACACTGGCAAAATCTTCTTTATGAGTGTTATAGTGACAGACACAGTTGCCGGCTCAAGACCTACATGACCAGGGAGCCAGCCTTGGGTCAGAAGCTGGTAGTCTTCCTGCTAGAGGGCCACATTCTTGGAAAGGATGGACAGAGGGCTGGCCAGCTCACTGCAGCCTGATGTGGGCCTTAGCCACCCAAGGCACAACACCTTGGGCCTGGGGATATAACCATTAGTTCTTTCCAGTCACCCAAGTCAAGCCCCCAGGTAGCCCCACAGCTCAACAGGATCCAGAAGAAGATGCCATTGTCTCAGCTCTTTCTCACTCATACCCACTGCCCTAGGGGCTGCTGTTCATCCCAGACTTGACTTTGTCAGGAGACCTGAAAAGTACAACTGCCCAAATCAGAGGAAGTCCGGTCTGGACTCTCCCTGACCAGCCACACACATAGCACACACCCAACAGGGTGCTGAGACTACCAGGGAATGTGACCACAGAACACTGCCAGCCTTGTGAGACAGGGCAAGGTGACTAACCAGCAGAGGCCAGTGCATAGCATTCAGCAGGCCACTGAGGCAGACAGGTCACTGTAATGTCTGTGACGAGAGAAGCAGTCTTGAGGAAGAGCTACCATGCTCACAGAAAGCACGTGGAGTCACAGCTGCTGCCTGCTACTTCTCACACATTTGTCACACCTCTCCACGGCCAGCAAGTGACCATGCTGAGAGGCTGAGGGCACAAGCAGCTCTGACCACTCCCCATCGAAATATGCTGTCTTGTTTCCCTCCCACGAATTCTTAAGTGCTAGACTTTTCTACAGAGGCTCTGGCACAGCCCATGACAATTAACACACTCCACCTCATTCTCCCTCTCCTGGTCTTCCAAAGTGGCTCAGTCAATCTTTGGTTACATAAATACTCCATTTAAGCACTAGCATTGTGCAAAGCGTGTTTGTGGCTGGGCTGAAACAGTCTCTTCCATGGTCCCTGCCCCGTGTACCCATCACCCTTCTACCCCACTCGGGTGGAGCTATGAAGGGTCCCACCACAGCCAGCCAGCTCCAGGGAATCAGGGTTAAGGTACCACCAACAACCCAGATGCCTGCAGAGGGCCAGTATGTTACTTAAGAATAACAATGAGGCAAATCCACAGTCAGCCATGTCATACACCTATAATCCCAGCAACTTGACAGGCTTGAGGCAAGAGTACTGCCAAGACTTTGTCTCAAAGTAAATAAAATCTGTTTGCTTTTTTTTTTTTCCTCTTTCTTTTGCAGGAATAGCTGACTTAAAGTGTTTACTAGACTTGTCTGATACCTTGGTTTTCATGGATAACCTAAATTAGAAATGGATAAAACACTTTTAACATTGTTAGAAATATCAAGGTGCTGTAAGAAATCAAACCCTGGCCAGGGTCCCTCTCTGGTAATCACACTTCCTGTCTCCCACCCTCCACGAAGAGGGCTCTGGGGCTGGCCTTGCAGTCACCTGGGTCCCCGCCTGCTGCACTGATCAAAGCGGTGCCTTGCTCAGGAGCCCTCATGCTGCTACCCACAGGCTTACCCCCTTGCTAGAGCACCAAGGAGTGCTCAAGGCCAAGCTGGTGCCTGCACAGGTCTGGATAAAAATGGGAGACAGGGCAAACTCAGGGTTTCAGGAAACCCAGCCCCTTAGTGACACTGCCAGGCTAGAATATGGGGCAGAGACAGACAAGACAGCTACTGAAAAGACCTGAGATCCAAGGTCATCCTGAACCTGACCACACTCAGTGACCATGGACCTCCTACCCCCTGCCAAGGTCTGATGGGCCCATGTGCAGCACGAGGGCAGAGGCTATGAGTGAGACACCCTACTGCTGTTCCCAGACCACCAGCAGGAGACAGGGGCTTGAGAAGGAACAGTACCAGCAGAGTTGCAGAGTCTGATTTAAAGGGACAGTGTGTGGGGCAATGGGTGAGTGTAAAGTGGCAAGACCACTGTGAGGACACTGGGCTCACGCCCAGTACATGGCTACTGCTGCTAGCTACTCCCAGGACAGGAAAACTGATTCCACACAAAGACTGTACAGAGAGGTCCTCAGAGCTTTACTCCAACAGCCCAGAGTAGGTGCCCATTGCAGCAGCATGGGGATGTGGGGACAGCATGCAGAGGGACACTAACTACCATGGGAGAACAAGAGACTCACACGCCACGAGAGTAGATAGGAGGCATGCGGTGAACAATGTGCTTCCACACATGAAACTCAGGAGAGGCAAGGCCTTTCTAAGGAAACAGGAGAGGGCAAGAAGGAGTGCTGAGAGCAGCCCTGCCAGCCTGTGGAGTGTCCAGCTCTGTCAGAGCACAGCCCAGCACACTCAGGTGTGCACATTCCACAGGATGCTTCATCAAAGCCTGAAAACACACTCTGAATAGTGGGGACCAGTATGGATACTGAGCTGTCCAGGGGGTACACAGAGCATGCTGACTTGAAGTGCTCTCCATTAAATAGATGGATTGCCAGACAAAGACATGCAGATGAGGGCATGGTAAGAAAACCCAGCAGATGCTGCTGTAAATGCACATAGGTGCTCCTGTACAACTTCTTGAGTATTTCTGAAATTTTTCATCAAAAAAACTCAGGGAAGGTCAGCAGCTTCCTAAAGTTGTGGACAGCAGTTTAGTCTGTCAACTCTGCAGGACGGGGGTAAGGAGAGCAAAGAACAGGAAGGAACCTGGCAAGGAGTGGAGCAGGATGGGTGGTCATGGGGCAGTGCAGGAAGGGGAGAGGCGGTGGAGACACGGTGGGGACCACTGACCTCCATTTTTGATAGCTGTGATGCCCTGGTAGAAGTCTTCAAAACTGATCACGCCGAGCCCACTGGGATCCAAGTACTGAGTTAAGTCCTTCACCTGCAAATGCCAAATGAGAATATGTTACCCACAGCCTTCTTAAAGTTGGGGAGGGCACACGCTATGCACTGGACCTTCTCACCACACAGAAGCAGCTTGCTAGAAAGGTACAGAGCTGAAGTAGAAGACACTGATGCTTCTGATGGAAGAGGCAAAGGTAGCCACCAAAGTCATTATGAGTGGCTCCAACCACAGGATGGTGGTGTCCTTGAGGATCCTGCACCATGGAAGTAAGATCCTCGCTCTCGGAGCTGACAGCCAGACTCCAATGGGAAGGACAGGAGGTTGCTCCTACAAGGGCCTGGAACATTCATGCAGAGCATAAACCACACCACCCAGACATGCTCTCCCAGCAGTGCTGGGTCTCTGGGAGGACAGACCCTTGACATCCATCAGGCTCACAAAAGTATAACAGGGTGGTTCACATCTGGATGATACAGAGGGCACAACTCTTCAGGAAGAAGACCAGGCTGTGCTGCCAAGGACAAGTCGGATCTCAAGAAAACTTTAAATTTCTGTACTTCAAAAGACATTAGCTAGGGGCTGGGGTTGTAGCTCAATGGCTGAGTGCTTGCCTCGCATGCGTGAGGCACTGGGTTCTATCCTCAGCACCCCAGAAAAAAATAAGTAAAAAGATATTGTGTCCATCTACAACTAAAAAAATATTTGGGGAAAAAAAGACATTAGCTGGGCACAGTGGAACTTGCCTGTAATTGCAATCACTTGGGAGGCTGGGACAGGAGGATCCCAAGTGGGAGGCCAACCTGGGCAACTTAATGACACCCTGTCTTGAAATAAATAAACTATATCCCCAGGCCTTCTTACTTATTTATTTATATTATAAATATACATTTATATTATATTATATTATATTTTTATTCATATACCCAGTACTAAAAACAAAAGGACAACATTTAGTAATACCATAAGGCATGACACAGATCAGAAGAAGTATTTGCATACTTAAAATTATATATAACTGGGGCTGGGGTTATGGCTCAACAGTAGAGTGCTCGCCTTGCACATGCAAAGTCCTGGGTTCGATCCTCAGCACCACATAAAAATAAATAAATAAATAAAAGTTATTATGTACAACTACAAAAAAAATAAATATTTTTTAAAAATTATATATAACTGGTAAAGGACCTATATCCAGAATACATATAAAAAAATCTTACACTTCAAAACGTCATATATAGCCAGGCACAGCGGCCCATGCCTGTAGTCACAGTGATTCAGGAGGCTAAAGCAGAAGGAGCCAAGTTCAAGGCCAGCCTGGGCAACTTAGCAAGACCCTTCCTCAAAATTATAAAATAAATAAAAGGGCTGGAGATGTAGCTCACGGATAGCATGTCCCTGGGTTCAATTCCCAGTACTATAAGAAAGAAAAGCCATACACAGAGGCAGGCCTAGTGTCATGTGCCTGTAAGTCCCAGCTACTGAGGAACCTGAGACCAGAGGATCAGAATCACTTGTGGCCAGGAGTTCAAGGCCAGCTGGGGCAACACAGAGGAACCCCTCTCAAAACAAGTGACAATGGCAAGCTCTGGAGATGAGGAGAAATCCCCGAGCCTCACCAGGAAACATGATGTGGTCTGGCAGCCTTGAGAGACATTAGGCAGGTAGTCTCTTTAAAAAGTACAACATGAGCTCAATGTACAGCACAATGACCCCAGAGAAAGGAACAGTGAGTCCACAGCAACACTGTGTCCAGCTACTCTGCAGAGCCCAAGTGTTTGCTAGCAGAGAAGCCACAGGAAAGACCACAAGTTACAGTTTCAAGAAAGGAAATTCTTGGAAAGGACAAGTCAGTGAGATGAAAGTCAGATCAGCCCTGCCTTGGACCCAGGGAGGAGGAGTGCTGATAGCAGCACACAGGGATCCTTCTGGGATGTGGAACTGCAAGGCAGGGCTTCCACAAACTCACATGCACCCTGATCTCCACACTTAAAAGACAGTAGAAGGTTCAAGAGAAAGAGAGAAGTACTGAAGCAAGCACATGGATCTGGCAAAATGCAGAAGTGAAAACTGGAGCATAAGGCAAATGCGAGGCTCTGCTGGAGTTCCCCAGTATTGAAGATCAAGCAGAGACAGAAAGAACACACCAGCACCTGGAGAAGACCCACTCCCCAGGCCCAAAGACCCCTTCAAGACTTATGCTGGTGAGCTTCTTGAGTTTCAAAGAGAAAAAGCTGTTTAACCCTTTAAATAGCCACACAAAAGTGAAGTGAGGACATAGAGGAAGCAAAGTGGAGTATCACCCACTGCCAGCAGCAACAACAACCCCAAGTGCTTGCCAGCACACCCATGCTGCTGTGGCCGAGTGGGCTGCCAGGCCCGCCTTGGGACTCACCCATCTGCTGATGGCCACACAACACCTCATACTGCTGACTAAGCCTCGGTGTGAGCTTTGGAGGATGTTTGGATAACAGCTGCCCATCATCTGAATTTGAATTTTAAGCATCACATTTTTTTTTTTTTTTTTGGTAATGGGGATTGAACCCAGGGGTGCTAAGCCATATCCCATATCCCCAGCCCTTTTTAGAGACAGTGTTTCCCTGGGTTGCTAAGTTACCGAGGCTGACTTTGAACTCCTGCCTCAGACTCCCAAGCTGCTGGGAGTACAAGTGGGGGCCACCACCTCCAGCTTTATTTAGGTGGACACAATATCTTTATTTTTTTTTTTTTATTTTTATGTGGTGCCGAGAATTGAACCCAGTGCCTCACGCATGCTAGGCGAGCGCACTACCACTTAAGCCACATCCTCAGCCCAGCTTTATTTAAAGAAACAGAAACTTGGGCTGGGGCTGTAGCTCAGCACACGTTAGGCACAGGGTTTGATCCTCAGCACCACATATAAATAAATAAATAAAGGTATTGTGTCCATCTACAACTAAAAATGGGGGGGGGAGAAGAATAAACAAAAACTTTTCGTTCTATCCATTCAAAATGGCCCCAGGCTGTGGTGCTTGTGTTTCATTTCCCACAAAAGAAACAAAACCCTTGGGAGTCTCTAGAACTGTGCCAGCTAAGCATGGTGCCCATTGTCACACCGAAGCACAAAGAAACCAAACTCCTAGCTGCTGGTTCCACCAACAGAACTCAGGAGCCATGCAAGAGGCTTCCACCAGCCAAAAGAGACTGAGGCAGGTGATGAGAAGTGGCGACAACTGTGACACCACTTCAAGCACATTCCAACCCACCAAGTTATAGACCCTGATTATTCAGTCTAAAAAAATGTTGGGTTGGGGTTGTGGCTCAGCGGTAGAGTGCTCACCTAGCATGCGTGAGGTCCTGGGTTCAATCCTCAACACCACATACAAATAAATAAACAAAATAAAGGTATTGTATACAACAAAAAAAAATAAATGTTAAAAAAAATGTTGGGGGGCTGGAGTTGTGGCTCAGTGGTAGAGTGCTCACCTAGCATGCACGAGGCACTGGGTTAATCCTCAGCACCACATAAATGTAAAATAAAGATATTGTGTCCACCTAAAAAAACTTAAAAAAATAAATATTAAAAAAAATTTGGGGGTCGGGGGCTTCCTGGAGAATAAATACCATTGAACTTACACACTGAGAACAAGCAAAGGAAGGAGCTGCCTGTCTAGCCTGCCTGTCCCAGGTGAGGGCAGCTGCAAAAGGACAGAATGGTGGAGCCAGAGGCACCCATGCCTTGCTCCACAGTAAGGGAGCACCAGCAGTCATCGTCAAAAGTACAAGGACTCACAGATATCACAGCCAGCCACACACCCACCAGAGGAAAAAGACAGAACATGCCTCAGCAGCCAGGGGCACAGCCAGTAACATCCAGCCTGTGAGAAGTTTGGCAGGGCCAAAGTGGTCAGGGAAGATGAAGGAACACCTCACAGAAGAGTCTCATCAACCCAGCAGCACACGAGGATCTCCACAACAGTCAGATCCCAACAGTGCATTTAAAATGCTCCACCCAAAGACAACTGAATTAGAACACCAATTGAACATTTGATGATACCAAGGAATAATGTTAATTTCTATAGATGTGGAAACTCTTGAGAACTCAAAGCACGTTTGATGGATGCACTTACTGAAATATTTGGAAATACCCCCAAAACCTGGGGGTGAGGCCCAGATGCAACCAACTAGCACAACACAACTACTGGGCTGAGGAGGGGCAGGTACATGATCCTGCTTGCTTTGCACAGGCTGGACAGGTATCAGGAGCAGTGGGGGCTCATAGCCAAGGACAGCCACGGGTGCACAAGGAATTAAAGGAGTACTGTACAAGTCCAGTTAGAGGGACTGCCCCAGGGGGCAAAGCACAGGCCCTGAAAGGCAGCCCCATGGGGATATCCAGGAAAAGAAGACAGAAGATATTAGTGCACACACCACTGTCCTTCTCAGGACCCAGCAGATGCCATGGAGACAGAGGAGACAGACAGCGCACCAGACAGAGTCTAGGCATAACCCCGGGGGATCTAGACTCAAGGACTCCAGGAAAGGAGACCCCAGGGAACCAGTTACTACATCCAGCCCTCCCACCACCATCATCATGTACAACAGCAAGTCAGACCTGATTGGTCCTAACAGTATGAGCTCTCAGGCCAAAGTCCCCCGTCTCCTTCAGCAATGGCAAGATGAGGCAATCATCCCTTGACTACAGGGCTCTGTGCATTAGCATGACACTAAGCTCCAAAGTCCATTTATCAGCTGATTTCTTGGGGAAAAAAAAAAAATATCCAGAGCTCTTTATCAATAGCCTAACTTCTTATCTCAGGAAAGCCTAAAGCACACAAGGTTTCCACAGAGTCCTGCTGATTACTGGACAGTCATCTAATCAGAACCCACACTGGCCATTCATTTCTTGAGATTCCCTAGAATTACCAACACAAAGCTGCTAGCAGTGTTCATTCTGAAACCCAAACCAAATACTCTTTAAACAATAACTAGCAGTAGGTCCTTTAGTTACCATATTAAATGATCAAGGATGAATCAAAGCGTATGCTTTTAAGGGTCTATTT